ATTTTATAAAATTAATAAATGAATAAGCAAATAAATAAATATATGTGCCAGTTTATTTTTGGAAATTTTCACTAATTAATTAATTTCATTTCTTTTATCTTTTCAGTATTTTGTAATGTTAATCAAATAAATAAATAAACATATATGCTAGGAAATTTTTTTTTTCTTTTTTTGAAATTCTCACCAATTAATTAATTTTATTCCTTTTATCTTTTCAGCACTAAATAAAGAAATGAATTAATTAAATAAATATATATGTTAGGAAATTAATTTTTCAAAATATGTTAGTTTTAAAAAATTTAATCATTATAGATATCTTTTTTCATTTATTTTTCTTTTGCTCCTTTTACTAATTAATTATCATCATTAATTAAAATTAATTTTTCAAAATAAGTTAGTTTTAAAAAATTTAATACATTATAGATGTCATCTTTCATTTATTTTTCTTTTGCTCCTTTTACTAATTAATTATCATCATTAATTAAAATTAATTTTTCAAAATAAGTTTTAAAAAATTTAATTACCATTTATATATATATCATTTTACTTATTTTTTGCTCCTTTTACTAATTAATTACCATCATTAATTAAAGGTATCGGTTGGGCACTTACCTGGTTAGCTGGTGAACGATTATTCATTCGATCATTAACAGCTGCTCAAAATTTCATTTATATTTTTGCATCGATACGTAAACGTTTGGATTGGGCAATTGATTGTGATCATAGTTACAACGATCATTTATGTGTGAATTTATTACGAATTAATATTTCACATAGTAAAACAACACATCAGCCAGATAATAATTGGCCAGCACAACAATTTAACAAGTTTGCAATTTAGTTGTTTATTTATTTATTTTTAAAAAAAGAATGCTAACTTTTTAATTTTTATATTTATTTATATTAAATTTATTATAGGTTTTTTTCTTTTTAAATTTGTTATAGGTCTTTTTTTTTAATTTATTATAAGTTTCTGCTTAAATTTATTATAGGTTTTTTTAAAATTTAAAATTTATAGATTTCTGCTTAAAAATTTATTATGGGTTTTTTTAAATTTATTATAGATTTTTTTTAAAATTTATTATAGGTTTTTTTTTAAATTTATTATAGGTTTCTTACTTCATCAAAAAAAAAAAGGAAAAAAAAAACGTTTATTTGCTTTATTTGAATTAAAATTATTAAAAGAAAAAAAAAAAAGTAAAACAGATTATTATTGCTTATTTAATTCAACTAAAATGAATGCAACTTAATAAATGAATAAATTGATTAATTGACGAAGAAATAAATTAAATTCAATTGAAATGAATGGAAAATTAATAAAATAATTGAATAAATAAGTAAATCAAATTAAATGAATAAAATAAATAAATAAATCAATTAATTAATTAATTGATTATTATGATAAAATCGATAAATGATGAAAATAAGCATATCAAAAAAATAAAATAAAATAATTATTAATCATATGCATTTTTTTTTTTTTAGATATGGAATTCGACAATTACCACATTATACAAATTTATCCAGTTGGGTACCAAATGAATGGTACTTTGAAGATCCAAATGTTATGAGAAAATTTTCAATTGAATTTCCAGTTTTCTCACTTAGCTTTGCACATATTTTAATTTGGCTAATATTATTTTTAATTGTAAAAAAGTATGCTATATATTAAAAATTTTTTTAGCTTTAAAATTTAAATTTAGAATTTTAAAGAAAAATGTTTATAGAAAAAAATTTTTAATATTTTTCAACAATAGCAGGAAAAAAAAAAAGAGAAAAAAAGAAAAATTTTATGATTCAGAAATTTATCATTTTTTTTTTGTTGGTTTTTTCATTTTTATTTATTTATTTATTTTTATTTTTGAAGGTATGGTACTAATCCAGGATGGTTTCTTGCACGATTTTGTTTACTACTACCATTAGCTCTATGTACGATTTTAATTTCCGGTCTTACAATATTTGGTTTTTCATTTAGTAAAAGTAATGAACGTGAAATTGCACCGGAAAATATCGAAAAATATCCATTTCAGTATTTTTCTGAAATTCATGTAAGTATTCAAATTTTTATTTATTTATTTTTTCTTATTTTGCACATTTCAATATTTTTCTGAAATTTAAATTTCTTTCTATTTTAATCATTTCAATATTTTTGTAAAATTTTTTTTTTTTTTTTTTTTTTGTTTTGCTTTATTGAATATATTTCAAGAAAAAAAAAAACAAAAAACTCTTTCTAACATTTTGAAAATTTCGAAGTTATTTTTAAAGCTCTCATTTTTGTAATTAATAATACTTTTGTTCAAAAAAATAAATAAATAGCAGAAAAAAAAGAAAGTAAAATAAAGAAATATCATTTCAAATTATCAAGGAAAAATTTTTTTTTAAAAAAAAAAAAATCACCCAATTTTTAGTGTAGTGAAAAACTATTTTCAAATAAATCTTTATTGTAATTATCATTAATTCTGATCGAAAATAAGAATTAAATTTTTTTTACTAATTCATTGAAAATTTTCAATCCTTTTTTTGTTCGAGAAATATAATTAAGCTTTAGAACAAAAAGAAATGAAATGTTTAGATTAACATTAAAAAATTTAACAAAATACTTTATTGAATACTCAATAAACAAAAAAAAAAAAAAAAACGAATTAAATTTAAATTTTCAAATTTAATTTAATAGTTTCCTTTTTTTTTTGCATAAAATTTCACTCATTGTTTATCTATTAATTGGTAGGCTTAATTAATTGACTAATTAACTGATTAACTTAATGATAAAACAAACATTTCAGCTTTGTGAGTGAAAATTAAACTCATCATTCATTTGCAATAAAATTTAATTCATAAATTAACATTTAGTGAAATTTAAGTAATTATTTGATATAATTGATTAATCATTTTAAATTTAGCAATTTTTTCATTTCCATTTTTTATTTTCATTATTATTTTCATACATTTAATGATAAAATAATGCAATTATAAATTCCTGTCATAATTAATTTATATGGAATGCATATTTTAATTTTTTTTACTAAATATAAAAAATGCATATTTTAATTTTCTTTTATTAGAAAAAAATGAAAGAAAAAAAAAGTTTAGAATTAATTTAAAAAAGAAAAAAAAAAGGAAAAAACTGAATTTAATAAAATGTAATTTCTTTGTTTTTAAAATTATTTTTAGGGCTTCTTTCGTACAACAATTGCTTTAATGGATTATTCATCAGCTTTTACGGGAATTTTAATATTTGCATCAAGTCGTATACAAACTGGGAATATGCCAATGAATACTTTAGCGCTTCTTGCGGCTCAATTAGTTATGCATAAACCATTTTTGTTTCCTTTTACTATGTGTTATTATTTAGTAAATAAATTAGTAAAATATAAAATTTTGCATAATAAATTGGATATTTTCACCTTTTTGCTATGAGCGTAAAGAGAGAATTCATTGAATTAATTTATTTGTTTAAATTAATTAATTAATTCATTTACTTATTTATTTTTTCATTTTTTAATTGCTTTTTTAAATTGTTGTTAACAAATGATGATTTACAATAAACAAAATGTGAAAATTAGAAGGATTAATAATTGGTCAAATAATTTGAACTTCATGACTTTTATTATTCAATTATTGAATTATAAAATAAATAGTAAAATTTGGCGAATACTTTTGAATTTATAATTTTTGGTTGATAATAATAATAATAATCAGTAATAGTAATAATAATAACAATAATAATAGTAATAATAATAATAATAGCAACAATGATAATAATAATAATAATAATAATAATAATAATAATAATAATGATAATAATAGCAATAATGATAATATTAATAATAATAATAATAATCATAATAATAATAATAGTAATAATAATAGTAATAATGATAATAATAGCAATAATGATGGTAATAATAATAATAATAATGATAATAATAGCAATAATGATGGTAATAATAATAATAATAATAATAATAATAATAATAGAAGTAATTTTTGTAATATTATTAGATCGAACAAATGAATCATTCATATAAGCGAAAATGTTGATAACAATTTAAAAAAAAAAAAATGGTAGCAAAAATGTTGTGATAATATTTTAAAATAGAAATGACACATTTGAGAATGTTGTGATAATATCTTTGGAAAAATTACCATATGCGAGGATGATTTATATGAGATTACATTTAATAAAATGGCATTTCCATTTTTTTTTTAATTTTTTTTTTTTTAAAATTTTTTAATTTATAAAAATATTAAATAGGTGTGAATGTATGCAGAAATGATAAAAAATATTTTATAATTTTGCTTAAGAAATAAAATACATAATTAATGATTGCTTATTAATTAGAAGAAAAGTTTTATTTAAAAAAATAATAATTAAATAGCTAATCTTTACAAACAAAAATTTATTTTAATTAAATTTTAATTTTTGTATATTTCAGTTACCACCAACATTTTTTTACGTTTTGAGGGATGGTTGCAATGGTCATTTAGCAAATGTACAACCTGCTTATGATAGTTATGCGGCTACTGGTTTGTTTTAAAATTTAAATTAATTATATTCAATTGAATCGTCTCTAAAATTTTTTGAAAGTTTTATACTTATCTGTAAGAAATAATAATTCAAATTATGCAAATTTAATCATGAAAAGTTTATAGTAGAAGAATTAGATCTCATTTTTTATAAATATATTTGCTTAATTTATATGATAAACTTCTCGAGAATAAAAAAAAAAAAAAAAAAAAGAATTGATGAAGCATTTTAAATTTGCAAAAATATCAATTGAAATTATCAAGAAATTTGTTTTTTCTTTTTGCAAATTGAGTCTCTTTTTTTGCTTCCAACTTATTAAGCCTTAAAATAAGTTTAATTAATTAATTAATTAATTTCATATGAAACATTTTCGTTTGATACGGCTGCGGCATGTTTTGCAACAATTACTGGTGGACCAATTTGGGCTATTATATATTATACTGCCAATTTTCTTTATACTTGTATTGGGCCTATGGTTTGTATAACAAATTCATTCATTTGAAATTTATTTAATAAAATAAATTTTTTTTTTATAAAATTTTCTAACAATAATAAAGTCAAGAAATTGCAAGAAAAAAACATTAAAATATGAGCTAAAATATTAATAAGTTATGTTATACAAAAGGAAAAATTTTTGTTTATTATACAAAAACATTTGATTAAAATATGTATGCAAAAATTTTGCATAGAAATGAATAAATTTTTAAATATTGGATAATTATTAAAATTCTAACAACATTTAAATTGTTAACTAAGTATAGCAGAAGAAAAATAAAGATGCTAAAAGTTAAGGTTTAATTGTTTAAATTAAGTTCATTTACTTTAAAATATCACAATAAAGTAATGAGCACCAATTACTTTACTCATCATTCTTTAAATTTGATACTGTAATTAAATTTTTGTTTCAACAAATTTAATTATCATTATCATGTGATACAATTACTATCATTTGCTGATAAAAAACAAAAATTATTGAGTAACCTGAAAAAATTCAAGTATTTCTTGTCTGAAATAATTTAAGTATTCTAATGATTCTAAAATAATTGAAATAATTAATCTCAGTGATGAAACAGTTTAAGTAAGATCATATATTGCACCATAAATAAAAGAATACATTATAGTACTTTATTACTTTTAAATAATATTTTAAATATTATTATACCGTACCTTAATACACAAAATAAGCCATGCCACACTACCGTATCATCATATTACCGTAATGCAGATACGATTGTGGTATAGTATTACGGTATGCTACCGTAATATAATATTATCGAATATTTAATCACATTTATTATTAATTATTATTTATTTAATATTTATTAATAATTATTATTTATTTATTTTAGATTATACTTTTGACATTCATTTACAATTCATTCGCAGAGCAATTTGCATTTGTGGAACGATTTCGGACACTTTTATTAGCTCTGATATGTGTTGTATTTGCTACAACAGGTCTTCTACTTTGTATGCCTGTTAGTATTATTATTATTATTATTATTATTATTATTATTATTATTATTATTATTATTATTATTATTATTTAAAATGATTTTCTTATTTTTTTGATTTTTTAATCTTTATTAATGAAAAATTATTAATGTAATACAATGTAGTAAATAATTACTTAATTACCACATATAGCGCTAATTATATTATAATTAACATTTTATTTGTTAACTTCTTTTTTTTTTTTTTTTAAATCTTATCCTTAATATATGCTTTGTTAAGTTATTTTATAATTATATTATTGGTATTTTGATAATTTTTTTTTTTTCAAAATTTATTAATGCGATATAATCTTTTCAAAAATAGTTTAACGGAAATTTAATTTTTATATTTATAAACGGTGAAAAATTTATCTTTAAGAGATATAATAAATAATTCGTAGTGTTTTTTTTTTCTTTTTTTCTTTTTTTTTAAATAACAAAATGTATATTTTTGCAATATTTTAAGATGGGTACGTCATTTTCTACTTTATTACAATACGTTTCACAATCATCAATCACGCAATTATTTCTTTTTATTACTGTTTTCTTTATTTATGGTAAGTTTTTTCTTCTTTAATGTTAAAATTTTAAATTATCACTTGAAATTTATAGCAATTTTTTTCACCGTTACTTAAAATATGACTCATATAGCAAATTTAAATTATCAATAGTATCAGTCAATTATTCTTCTAATATTTTTTTTTTTTTTTTTGGAAATTTTGAAGGAAATTAAGAAATTATTACTATTGTTATTCAATTAAGATGAAATAATGATTATAGTATCTACAATTAGATGACAATACAGTTGACAATTTGTAAATTGAAATGAAAAATTATTTCATGGAAAATTTGAATATATATGTAATATTTTAATAGCGAAAAATTAGCAAACTTATTTTACTAATAAATTCTATTTTAAATTAATAAATTCCACTTTTTCATTGTATCATTGAATTGTTGTATAAATGATCAAAATTGCAAAAATTAATTTAAAAATTAAATTTAAAATTAATTGAAATGATTTATTAGGATGGTATAATTTGGATAATGATGTACGGATAATGATAAATACCAGCAATAATCGTTCACTGATAGCATTTTTGCTTGGCTCAACAAGTCCTCTATATACTATTTTACTATTTACATCTGTACCAGCACTTCTTGTGGTATTATTTATTATTTTTGAAATTATTACTTAAATAATTAAAAAGAATTGATCAAATTTTTCAAATAATAGAACAATTAAATGATCATTTTAAATTTCAAATTTTAATTTAATATTCAAATTTTAGGCAAAATTAGTAAGTGTATTTGATTTGCTAATTAGTGGAATGGATATTGAAAAGCATATTGACTATGGTACAGCATTTATATCATCATCTAAAATATTAAATCGATTCTTTGGATATTTGATTTTACTTGGACCAACAGCAATTATTACCATTTTTGCATCTGTTTCATTTTATATCAATGTTATTCTATATAGAATGGTAATAATTTGATTGATTTAAAAAAAAAAAAATTAAAACTTAATTTGAAGCATTTTCAGTTTGAAAAATTTTGATTATGTCATTTTGATTAGATGTATATTTTCAGAGGTTTAAATTTTGTCCTAAATTTCTTTAAATGTAAATAAAAAGACTCAAATTGTTTTTTTTTTTCTTTTTTGCTAGCTTTTATTGCAAAAATTTTTTTGTTGATCTGATAGTTGATCTAATAATGATTTAGTTGATCTGATAATGATCAATTTACAATTGAAATTATAGTATACTGACTTATTTTTACTTGGTTTTTTAATTTCAGTATTGTGGCTTATCTGGTTTTTAATTTAAAATTTTCTTTTGAAAATAAAATTCAATGCATATTTGTATAAAGATATAGCTGATTAATTTATTTCTAAAGCATTCTTCCAAAATTGTTTTATTGTAATTATAATTACAATTGTGCAATTTAATTTCATTTTAATTTCAAAGTTAAATTTAAATAAATAATTGCAATTAAATGTTTTAGCCATGGGGTACAATTATGGATGCTACAGCAGACTGGACTTCACATACTTCACTTAGACAGGTAAAAGTTTTTCTTTTTTTTTTTAAACTTTGAAAATGTATTTAAAAAAATAAAAAAAATAAATTTGAATTTATTTTTTTTTTAAATGAAATCATTTTATTAACAAATATTTAACACATATGAAAGAAAAAATTTTTGAAAAGGAAATTTTAATAAAATGAACATTTTGTAAATTGAATTGTTCTATGAGAATTGTTAATATTTTTTAAATTGTTCAACGAGATTTTAAGTTAAAATAAAATTTTGCGCAAAAGAACAGTCAAAAATTAATGATAAAATATAGTCGAATTTGTATATTTGAAATTAAAAAAGACTGCAAAATTTTAAAAAAAAAAGTTTTTTTTTTTCCTTTTAGACGACAAATCCAAAATCAGCGCCGATCTCACATCATCTATTCACCTCTTTTCTCAATATTTCTTATCGAACTGTATTATTTGTCATATTTATTGCTGAAATATTCATTGGAATCATTTTATTTTTCCTTTTTATTGGGTAAAATTTTATTTGTTAAATTTATATTTGATAAATAATTCATTATTATTATTATTATTATTATTATTGTCAATATTATAAAGAATAGTATAGTTTTTTTTTCTTAATTATTATTACTATTGTCAATATTATAAAGAATAGTATAATTTTTTTTTCTTAATTATTATTATCATTGTTATTATTATAAAGAATAGTATAGTTTTTTTCTTAATTATTATTATTGTTATTATTATCATTGTTATTATTATAAAGAATAGTATAGTTTTTTTCTTAATTATTATTATTGTTATTATTATCATTGTTATTATTATAAAGAATAGTATAGTTTTTTTCTTAATTATTATTATTATTATTATTATTATCACTGTTATTATTATAAAGAATAGTATAGTTTTTTTCTTAATTATTATTATTATTATTATTATTATCACTGTTATTATTATAAAGAATAGTATAGTTTTTTTTTTTTTTAAATTAATAATTTTAATTAATATAAGATTAATAATTAATAATTTCTGTAACTATAGATGAAAGTTTTTCAAAAAAAAAAAACAGTGAAATAATGAAATGAAATATTTACATGAAAGTTAAGAATTTGATTCGTAATTTTTCTTTTTCTTTTTTTTTTTTTCATTTAATTTTCAATTTTCAGTAATGTATTTTACATTCGTCTAGCAACTAATAGCGCTAATATAACAGCAGCAGCAGGTAATTTCCGCACTATATTATTTCTCACTCTTCTAACATTCCATATTTTATCATTAATTGAGTTACGTTGGGCATTGAAAAAATGGGATCATTCATCCAGGTTAGTTCAAAGTTTCACTTTTTTTTTTTGCATAAATAAAATAATTCATCGATAAATAATTTTTAACTATGATTATAAAATTATTGCAAAATAGTATGAAATTATTTAAAATTACAGATTAAAAAAAAGAAATGATATTTTTATGATATCATTTTTACCTGCTATTTTTGTAATTATCAATAGTTTGTTAATTATCAGTAGATATTTCCTTTCCTTTTTGAATATCGATTTATTCAAACTCGTAGATTTTTGAGTAATAACAAATAATTGTTAAAAATGATCAATAATAATTGAATAGTTTATGAAAATACATAATATTTATATTTGTTAATATTTTAAAACTTTTAAAATTAATAAATTAAAACGAAAACATCATTAAGCATTATGAATGAATGTTTTTTGTTTATTTGTGTTTTTTTTTTTTCATGAAATTTATTTCAGATTAACAATGTATATAGCAGTTGCAACAATAGAAATGGCTTTTTTAAATGGTTATATGTGGATTGCAGCAGTGAATCATTCCTGGGGTTTAAATTATCAACCATTTTTAGTAATTTTTGTTAACACTTTTATTCGTGGTATTATGATTGCTATTGTGATAGCAATTCGTTGGAATATGGCGGAAATGTCACATCCAACTCGTACACGTGATGCAACCGAAATTTATGATGCGACAGCTGATTTAGACAATGATGCAGATCATGATGATGATATACCAACTATTTATGAAATGCGACGTGATATTTTTACATGAAAATAATTTTTATAAATACATTTCTCTCTTTTTTTTTTTTTTTTTTGAATAACAATTATTTCTGACTTTTATGATGGCTTTTATGACAATTGTTTGTATTAAATTTTAAAAATGAATTAAACTTATTAATTTATACATCAAAAATTATTTGCACTCTACAAATAACAACAAATTTTATAAATTAAACAATTAAATTCATAAAAAATATGTGTTTTAAGCTAAAAAAAGAAATTATACAATTCTTTGTTAGATAATTTTAAAGTTATTTAAGAAAAAGAGAAAAAAATTTGTCAGACGTAATCTTTCATTTTGATAGTGACATCTGACTGGACAACTAACCTAATGAAAGAGCGGCTAAAAGTGATCGAGTGATTGAGTGATAGAGTAACCGAGTGATCGAGTGATTGAGTGATCGAGTGACCGAGTGACTGAGTGGCCAAATGATTGAGTGACTGAACGACCGAGTGACTGATTGACCAAATGATCGGGCGACTGAGTGGAGAGTGACTGAGTGATAGAGTGATTGAATGATTGGGCGACTGAGTGATCAAGCGACCGAGTGACTGAATGATCGACTGACTAAGTGATGAGGCGACCGAGTGGCCGAGTGGCTGATTGACCGAATGACTGAATGATAGAGTGATTGAATGACTAGGCGACTGAGCGATCGAGCGACCGAGTGACCGAGTGACTGATTGACCAATGACTGAGCGGCTGAGTGGTTGGATGCATTTTTTTTTCTGCGTGACTTTTTTTAATGCTTACTTAATTCAAAATAAATCTTATGTGCTTCGATTTTTTTTCCTCAAGAAAAAGGAAAACATTTAACGTATCAGTCCAGTCCAGTTAACTCATACGTGTTAACGTGAAAATAATAGAGATAATAAGTCACTCACGTAAATCACGTAAAGTCTCTTTCCTGCATTACAGATTTCAGAAATTTAGAAGGCTTAACTCCTGAAGCGATTATTTGCTCTACAGTACCATCAATCGATATGTTGATAGCAACCCAGCTGACAGACATCATTTGGTTAGTCGCATGTGTGTCGTGTCGTGTTGTTCGCTGTGCGGAGTTGTCATGTCTTGGCGCGTTTGTCTCCTCTGGAGTCCAGAGTTCTCGATTAATTAGCTAATATGAAATACTTACTTTTACTTACTTATAAATGTTATCACAGTTTAACTTTCTCTCTTTTAGATTAACTCCTCATAAACTATGTGTAGAATTGTATGATTGTAAAGATATGATAAAAAATAAAACTTCTCGAATGTTCTTCATTTATTTCATCCCATATATCATCATTTTGTTGTTGTTTTTCTTCCTTTTTTTTTCTCTCTCTCTCTCTCTTAGTTTTATTTCGCGAGGAAATTTTCAGTTCTTGCTTAAAATTCATTTCTCACTGTTATTCGTTTGAGAAGGTTTTTCGATTTCTATTCATTTCGTTCCATATATGTGATTGGATTTATTTATTCCCTTGAAGGATGTTCTCATCTTTCTTCTCTTTTCATTAACAGTTAGAAAATTTTGCTGAATTTGAATCTTTTTTGACTGATACTAAAAATCAGCTATTTTGTGCTTAGAGGAGTCGATAATGTTACGAAGATGAGATATAAAAATAGGGAAGCAAAAGGAAGAGGATAAGAGGAAAGCAGAAGCTGTTTGTAAGAATTGATTTTTCTGGAACATATATATATGTATAGGAATGCTTTTTCTTTTCACTTTCATAATATATAGTTATTACAATTTCAGGATGTTTATTTCCAATTTTTTGTTTACGAATCATTGTGGTTTTTGCGAAAGTTAAGTAAAGTAGTAAAATGGATGGTGTGGCAGAGACTGCAAGAAGTTTTAGACTGTAAGCCTAGTTGATTATGATATACTACTACTGCTAGCTTAATCAAAGGACAAATAAAAAGAAATATTTAATGACTAACATCATAAACCATCTCGTCTACAGAATAAGAGTTCTTTTAGTTTATTGTAGAATCGGAGATTTCTAAGAAATTATTGTCTGCAAAATCATTGAACTGATCAGTTTTCATAATTTGAAGTTGTCTGAATACTTTGGTATTTTGATTCATATTAGATAAAAAATGCTTTGCACTTTTGTTTGAGGGGAAAAAAAAAAGAGGCAGAGAAGGGAAATGTTTAAACAATTTCAGCGATTCTTTGTCGGCGTGGCAGTCAATTTTCTTCCTTCTACATTTGCAGTTAGTAATCCTCAAACAAGAGCTGTGGTTCTGTTTATTTTTTTTTTTTTTTCTTAGCAAAGCTATGTATATATTTCAGTATTCTGAATTTCATTCTTTTTCAAAAAAAAAAAAAATTTAACCCTGTTTGGCTCAATAGTGATTGAGGATTTAAATGTTTTATTGTAAAGAGAATAAAACATCTTGTTGACAGTATTTTGAGTTAAAATATTAAAATTTGTATCCAGTTGATATATTATGATATCATATTATGATGATATGCCTTTTTTATTTTTTTTTTTATGGTGATGAGTATGATCTTGTTTGTGCACTTAGAATGTTAATAAATAGCTAATAAATAAAATTTTGAGTTTAGTATGAATTTTAACATTAAAAAATTCATTTGATTGTTTGCTGAAGCTGTTTTGCCTATTGATTTTGTATTTTTCAATTCCTCTTTGAGTTGTTTTAGTTAGTTATAATTTGTCCTAACAGTTAGCAATTATTTAGATATTGTTTACAAAAAAAAAAAATCTTTCTTGCTACCATATTTATTGATAACTTGTGTTAATAGTACTTAATAATCACTGATTACATCATGATTCACTAGTGTCTAAACAGCTGTGTTTCATCACATATACATAAATGAAAAAAGTGAAAAAAAAAAAGAATTGCCTTGATGATAATATTTATTCCAGTGAACAACAATTTTTGTTATCAATCTCGTAATACCAAATCTGTAACGTGAAATGTTATTAGTACTATATATATTTTCATATATTTTATATATTTTCCATTTTGAAGGAATTTTTTCGTATCATTCATTCATTCATTCAACAATTCCGCGACCATGTTTGGTGGCGATCCGTTTGGTTTTGGGTAAGTGTTTTAATAATTGTTTTTAATTTAATATTAACTAATCAATATTGATTTTCTCTTGGCTCATTGAATATACGCATATTAGTGATTTATTAATATATTTCCTTGGTTTTTCATTTATTAATCTGGTTATTTGAGGTTTTTTTTTTCCTCATTTTGATTTTGTTGAGCAATTATATTTAGTAAGTGTTTGAGTAGTCTAATAAATTATTAGTTACTTTTAACATGTTTATCGTGGTATTTCCAATAATATTTTTGGCTTATAAAAATTGTTATTTTATTTGCCTCCATTTTGCAATGCTTTAAACTGAGATTGCAAGAATTTACACCTCATGCATATAATAAAGAGTTTTAGTTAAATGATATTTCACATTAACAGTAGGATTTTTTTTTTTTTGAATTATTAGGTTTATTTTTTATTCAGACATTGCCTGTGATTTCGATTGTAGAGGTTGCAAAAAATAAATTATATTTTTTAGTCAGTTATTAAGCTCAGGTTCCGTGCAGTTTCTATCAACATTTAACAAAATTTATTTATTAAAATTTATTTAATGGTACTAAAAACTTATGAAATAGATTAATAAGTCACGTTTAATTTTAATAAAGATATTTAGGGCAGCAATGTCCAAACACCTATATTTTGAATGGAATGGAAGTCGATTGTCATATGAAAGATATAATTTTGATTATTGCAGTGTTAGGATCTTTTAAACGCAAGAATAACTAGAAATGAAATAATGATGTTTTTACGGTTAAAAATATATCAAAATATTTGTTATAGAAAATGATATAAAAAAAATAAGGTGGAAAAGAAACCTGTTTCTTTTTTTTTTTCTCGTGATTGTTTCTCTTTCCCGTTGTACATGTAGAAATTTTTCTTTTTTTTTTACAGTATCTATAGCACTGTAATGTCAAATAAGTCAAATATTTCTTATTCAGTTATCACTTCGAAGATTGAGTGAAAATAAGATTGAAAAATAATGTGAGGTTGTATATTATTTGAAAGAACTAAAATATACTGAGATTACATATTAAACCAATTAGATGGTTGATGGTTTTCTATAATTATAGGAAATAGCTAAATGAACTAGGTGTCAATTTGATAAGGTGAAGCTCAAATTAGTCATATGTGAGATGAATGATTTTGATTTAATTAGCATATGTATATATATCACATCAAAGCAGAACTGAATGCAATTATTTTTTGACAAATACGTATGAAATATATTCGATGTCGCATTTTTTCACTAGTGTTGTGAATTTAAAAGTTTGTTTGAGCAAGAAGATACTGAGAACCAATAAACTTAATCGTAGTGGTATGTATTTGTAATTAATGATTAACGATGATGGTTTGATGGTCACTTTCCAGAATACCATGTTCGGTGTGTAATTTTACAAAATACATTTCATCTATTTGATGATAAATGGTAATATTGGCACTATAAAAATAAAACATAAAATAATGTTAGAGGATAAAGCCAATGATTGTTGTTTCACTTTTTTTCTGTTTTGTTTCTAGGCTTAAAATTAAAAACAACCAATGAAAGTTTAAGCAGTTATAAAAAGTTACATCTTCTGATTTTAATGAAAGTCTCAATTGTAGTTGCTTATTTAGTTACTATATGACTTCAAGTCTTCCATAATTTTTGTTGAAATTTGAGTTAACGTTAGAACTGAGTTCTTATTGAACAAATAACATAATTATTGTTTAACATGCATTTCTAACGAAGAGTTTTAAAATGCATTTGGTACATGGATGTGATTTTCTAAATATTTTCGATATTTTACATTTCTATGTTTTCTGAAGGGAATTTGCAAATAATCGTTCTCACTGAGCTGACCATTGGCTTTTTATGAATGCTATACAGATATCAATACAAAGTGTGACTATAAGTTTCTTTAATTAAATGTAAGATTATAAATTTCTTTAATTAGATACTTGTAATTAAATTATTACTCTAAGGAGAAACGTATTATCAGTACTGATTGTTATCAGATTAGCTTTAGACTAGCCAAATGAACTGAGTTAGTAATGAAAAGTATAGTTGTTTATTTCTGATTATCAATTACAAATGATTTTAATGGTTTTTGAAATTACCCAGATAATGTTGCAGTGCACTGTAAATAAATGAATGAATTATTTTCGGAAAAGTGAAAAATGAAATTATTTCAAAAGAGCAGGAAAAGAAATAAATATGTCAACCACATAATAAAACTAATTATTTATGCAGTATGATTGTATCACTTCATAATGTCATGATTTTACATCAGATATTTGCTTTCATTAGTTTTCCGAAAAATTGAATTTATGACATCAATGTAAACCTATCATACATATTCTTTGACAATTTCGACGTCATACTTAATTCCAAAAATATATTTCATTTTGCATTTCTGTCATTGCTATCTTCCTTATAACCATTCATATTTGTAACATACGATTATGATTAAAATTTAAATTTAATGAAGAGAGCTTTTTGAAAAAGGCATATATATATATATATAGAGAGAGAGAGAGAGAGAGAGTATAAAAGTTGGTGAATAGTTCCAAATAGAAGACTGTCAGTGAAATTTTTGTTAATTAGTAGTATCAACCGCAGAAGAAGAAGAAGAAGGTGAGAAGAGTTGAAAGGGGGAGTGTATGTGAAATATGTTAACTATTAAAGAAATATGATAAAACTTGTTTGTGATAGGAATAATATTCTATTCTCTGTTGATGCATCAATTAATAATACCTTAATATATTGTTGATGAAAGGTTTGAAACAAGTATTTACGAATATAACATATTATAAATATATTATTATGATAACATATAAATTATTTGCAACTAATTTAGTTGTGAGTGTTTGCGTAAAAGCATTTTGTGTTGAAATATTTTGCACCAAAATATGATACATTTTACTCAACGTCAAATTTATACTACACGATTAAATGGCAGGTTTGACTTTTTTTTTTTCCCTCGAATTTCTTATCATTTCTTTTTTTTGTATTCAAATCTCAAATGTTATTTAAATTTAAAAATTTTGATATAAAAAAAAAAAGTTAGTTTAAAAAGAAGTCATATGATGTAGCTCTTGGAAAATTCAGATGATCTGCTGTTATTTAGGTAGTAGAATGATATGTAGTGTTAATGATGACCCAATGATAATTCTAGATGATAAGTGATCAATGAAATCTAATAACGATAGTTTTTTGTTTGCTTTTCTTTTTTTTTTTAGGTTTTTGATTTTAGATAATAAATGAAATTTAAATAAAAATGGTAAATAGTAATGTATCATTAGGTGCTTTATTTTTGTTTCAAATGTTTCAATTTTTTCATGATTAATTGATGATAAAACGTTGAACGGTTTGTTAGCTTACGAACTTTTTTTTTTTTTTTTTTTTCCTCTTTTTTGTAAATTTTATTAAATGAGAAAAAAAGAGCAGATTAGTTGTTGTTGGAGAAAAAAAAAACATTTGCAATCCTCAGTTTTTTTTTTTTTTTCTTTTTCTTTTTCTCTAAATAATAACTAATAGTTACACAAATAATTGTTTGTCTTTTGTATGTTTTTTTTTTTTATTTTTTTTTAAAAAAAAAAAGAAAAAAAACTTACAAAGCTTTATTAATTGAGTGAAACAGGAAATGAGAAGCATACTGTATATAATTTAATTGCTTACAATATAAGCAAAAAATAAGTATCACTGAGATTACTTCAATTATTATTATTATTATTACATTTAATCTAGATAGAATTGAGCTAGAGCTAAGTTAGATAGAATCAGGTTAAAATCAGGTTACGATCAGGTAAAAAATTTTACTAATCAACATATCCTTTTTTCTTTTTTTACACATTTCAAATAAATTCTTCAAAAATATTCTTACCCGCTTTATCATAAATGTCGAATGTTCTGGAAAAATCTCGAAATTGTCATAGGCGTTTTTCTTCTTTTTCTCTCTATTTCCATAATATTTCGCACTATTCATATACTCCTCTTGTTCCAATTATTATTGATTTCGTTTTATTATTCAATAGTCTGAGTAGTAGTTCTTTCTCATCTCTCTCTTTCATACTTTTTTTTATATGAAATTTTCAAACTGTTAACTCTTTCTCTTTCGTTATTTCTTCTTTTTCCCTTCTTTTCTTCTTTGCATTCTCAATTTTAACTTTGATTTTCAAAAAAGAGAGAGCATTGCTTTGCTGTAGTTATTTGTTTTTTTGTGATGGAAAGAAACTTCGATAGATGTATGAATGAATTACAATGACAATTTGCTGATTTGTTAATGAAGGTGCAGTGCTGTGAATAGTACAAATAAAAATAATTTCGAGATATTTAACCTAGTTGAAAATTTGAACAAATTTTTAGCAGATGAATTTTCAGTTTGTAAAGTTTTAAAGGAAGGAGAAAGAAATAGTACTAATTATGGATGATGATGAAAAAGAGAAAAACGAGCAGAAGAAGATTGGAAAAATGCAAGTTGTTTTTTTCAGAAAGATTGAAAGTAAGAATGCCTAAACAAATGAGAAATGAGATAGGATTAAAATAAGAAATAGCATAATTAAAAGTGTGTTAGTGTGTGATTGCTAATAACTGATAAGGATGATCAAATGGTTAACTGGAATAGAATTCCATATATATATATATATATATATTGTTGTTTCCATGATAAGGAAATAAAGTATTTGTCTAGAAAGGGAAAAAAAAGCATTTAAATATAGGTTAAGAATTTTTTTCTTTCTTAGATTTAAATGGTTTTTAATATATTTTTTAAAATTGCGAATTTAAGTCTGAAATAGGATAAAATAATGTTTGTGTTAAATGAGGTTAACATTGTTCGAGAAAGGGGAAAAAGAATAGCATTGTCTCCTTTTTGTTTTTTGTTTTTTTTCTCCTCAGTATATATGAGTGAGGATTACTTCCCATTTTTCATTTATTTTTGTTGATTCACGATGAACAGGCGTAAATTTATGTCACGAAAGTTAGTTAGTTAACTTGAATACTATGGCAGTGAAATGATTAAATTAGATATTGTTTTATTTATTTACGGTTAACTTCATTCTGTACATTTTAGCCTGGTGATGGTGCTGAGAAAAAAGAAAAAAAATACATGTTTAAGCTTCACTATAGAAAATTTTAGAATGAAATTATTATTATTGAAAGTTTCATATCAGTTAAATTTGTTATATCATTTAAAATTGGTATAGATATTCAAAAAATCTAGGCCTATCCAGAGCTTTTACTTTTAACAATTCAGTTTTCTTATGTATGCTTTTCTTACCTCGATATATATTTTTTGGAATTTTCATTAAGAGAAATCCCGAACTGGTTTTTGTAGTTCAGATATATCCATTCAGCTGGAATAGGTTTTAAATGAAATTTTCTAAATTCTTGATATGTAAATTGTTCCTTTTGCTAATTTTATGCAATTTTCGATAGTTACCTAGTTTAAGCATCTGTTCAGATTTTTTTTTTAATAATTTGATCTGCTGTTTAATGCTCTAAGCTTTTTCTTTTAGGAATATCTTTGCTGCACAATAGTTCATAGTAGTATTTTCATCTTAGTGCATTTTTTGAAGAAGTCAGAAATTATTCAGTTCGATTATTTGATTGTTAATGACAGTTTGCAGTGAAATACCTTATTAGCGATGAATAGTTGAAAGTACACTTTAGAAGTGTGAGAGTACAGGGTTAATGAACATTAAAGCATATAACTTTATGTAACGAATAAACGATTGAGGTGAGTTTAATTTTTGACAAGAAAATCAGTATAAATATATCTTTTTTAACGCATGCGTTTTGCTAAATAAAACTATTTACTTTTAGGAATATACATCATCAAATAAGACAACAGATGCGTGATATGGAACGAATGACACATGGAATGCTAAATCCGTTTGGTTCAATATTCAATATGCACAGTCCGTTTGACAGTAAATTTTTTTTTTTTTTGTGAAAATGTTGAAAGTTGTTGTGCATAGTCCCAATCATAAGATATGACGCTAGTAAAGTATAGATTTTTCTCTTTTTGTCCATTTTTTCATTTTTTGGAAGTTGCATGGCTGTAGATATATTTCTAATACTTCCATTGCTTCACCTTATGCGATTGTCTCTATCTCATTTGAGTTTGGGGTTTTGTTTCGTTTCCGTTCGGAAGTAATTTCTAAGACAAATCTGACAGGTCGGTAAGCAGTTAAGAATGAAGTTAAAGATTGATTTGTTATTTATGTAAATATAATTTGTGTTGAGGTATAATGGGAGAACCATCAGGAACACGACCATCGCGTGATTTGGCGCTAATGGACCCATTTGGCTTTAACTTCTGCGACGGCCTTATGAGACAGATGGTTCTTTATTTTAAGATTACAGTTTTGATTTGAATTGAACCAGGTTTCTGTTTTGGAACTGTAATGGTATAAATTTTGCATTCTTTTTTTTTTTTTTTTTTTTTGTTTCTTGACAAGACTGGAATTAATTTGAATGAAATTTTAGGAGAATGTCCAGACACAGGCAATGAATGATCCAAATGCGCATGTGTTTTCCCATTCAACAATGATTAGCTTTGATGGACGTAACGGTGGGCAACCTCGAGTAGTTGAAAAAACAATTCGTAAAACTGGTGACGTGAAGGAAACACGGTACTCTGTTTTAATTAATTTGTAGAGCATGATTTAATAGTACTAAATTGTTATTACACCTCAACATTTTGAATGTTAAAAGTTTTTTCTGGAAGAAATTTGCAATGCGGAATTTGCACCAGTAATCAAGATGGAAATTTTAAAATTTTAAAAAGTGCTTGAATTTTAGACATGCAATTCGAACAGGTGAGGATGGTATAGGTGACAAGCTCACTATTGGACATACAATAGGCGATCGTACGCACGTGATAGAAAAAAAACGTGATCGTGATGGTCGAATCAGAGAACGACAAAGCTTTGTTAATCTTGCACAAGGTATTTCATCTGGTTATCAACCATTAACAGTTAGATAATTGAAATTGTTATCGAATGCTTTCTTTATTGCTACTGTCATGGACTTGTTTATGATCATTTCCGGTATATAATATCAGAATTCCCAGTTCACACATTTTTAGTTCATTGAGTGTCAATGACAAGTAAAATTGGGGACTAATTTTTATTATTTTGCGAAATCAGTTAATGTTTTAGATGAAGCGGAAGCGTTTGATCGTGAATTTGCATCTCGTGCTCGTCGTAATCTGATGGGTGGTAGAAGTGATGGCCAGAGAATTCGTGCGATTGATGGTGGCAATAAGTATGGTGGTACGACTTCAAGCAGTCGAACTCATGTCAGTGATTCCTTGAATTGTTTTCGTTATCATTTAAACTTGCTAAGTTTGTCATATGCTCAGTTTGCCTCGTTTTAAATCTTCAGAAAATTAGCTTCAGCAAAGGGAAATGTATTGGGAGGAGGAAGAGAAGGAATTGTTTTACTATCAAATTTTGTATATGAAAAAAAATGAAATTAAGTAATGCTGGAATTTTTCAGGCACCGCGCATCGGTGGTAGTGGGACCAATGCACCGATTATTACTCTTCCGGATGAAGAGGATGATGGTGATGTGACTGAGGAGGATTATGGCAGAGGAAAAAGGTAACTCCTTTTTACTTACGTGAGTAAAAAGATTGGGAATTTTTTTTTTTGATCTTTTTTACTCTGCAAAAAAACATATATATATATATATCCTTGGTGTGACGTTCTTTGTTTCAGATCTAGTTCTCGTTTCGCGTCTGCTTCGGGTGGTCCGGTAATTCGCGAGGTGACGGATGATGAAGAAGATGATGGTAATAATCATAAACGACGAAAGGGTTTTTTTGGACGTCTGTTCAAAGAGAATGATGAATGAATTTTTAGCATTTGTTCTGTACAATGAATTTGCACAACAAAAAATTCTGTATCTTTTGGAAATTATTTGAAATTTAAAATGTTTTGGGTTATGATTGTGCGCAAATTTCGTATTATCTTTGTGTATTCGTTTACTAACTTTAATTTGATATTTCAGTACTGGATCATGGTTTTATCTAGGCACTTGTGTCATATTTTAAATATTTTTGTACTGGACTTTGATATTAAGGTACTGACAATAAATTGATGAACGCTTTTGCGAGAACTTTCCAGCAAAATTCCTTTTACCTGTGGCCTAATTCTCTGTTCTGATAATAGAAAATCGCAGGTTTCATTGACTTTGAAGAATCTTTTAATGTCTGTATCATCTCTTCATAAAGTTAATGAAATTGCCTTCAATAAAAGTTCTTTCGAAATTTTCCCATCTATCACGGCAGGAGTTTTTCTCTTCAAACAGAATTCAGAAATGTCTGACTTATGAACGAGCATCTGAATTGAGTTAAATAATTTTTTCGTAATTTTATTAGTGATTTTTTTTTTTTGCATTTTAATTGTTTAACATTTAAATCTGTCGCTTTTTACTATAACTGCTGTTATTTATATATGCTAGTTCATAACTTTTATCACCATTCATTTCAGATGATGCAAAAATTAGTTTAACTTTTAAATTCCATCATTTTCATCGTTCAGATCTTTCATTTACTCCATAATTTGCGCCATATCATAGCATGGATGGATCCCTTCCTCTCTCATTCATTTCTAACAGTTCCTTCTTTTTTTTTTTTTTTTTTCTTTTCATTCATTGCATAAATAAGTAAATAATATACATAAATAAAACTATATATCCCTGCTCTCTTATGTCATTTTCAATTTTTTGAGAATTATTATTCTATCCTAGGGAATTTTTCCATAAATCTATTTCAGTAAATGTGGAAGTAGCACATGTTTAACTCTAAAAAATCATATTTACTTTGTAAATGATTCCTATTAATCAGTGCTAAAAATGATACCAAATCATTTATCAGTAAGAAAAAACAGCAAAATTTGATAATTGCATTTCATTCATTCAATAGTAAGTCGGCCTTTTGTTTCAATTAAAAAATGCTTCAAACGTTCATGAAAATTGCGTTGTTCACTTTTTTGAAGACGTTTTCCCGGTGTATCAGCCATTAATCTACGAAAAGCACTACGTAGTAACGTTCGATTTGGATAATTTATTTCACGTGATAATAAATTTTTGATATACGTTTTACATTCATCCTGAAAAATGAATAATTTATCAATAATCTTTCACATATGAGCTAAACCTAACTTTTAAATTTGAAAATTGACAAAAATGAGAAAAAAAGAAAAAAGTAAATCTATTTTATGTCAAACATAAGTGGTCACTTTTGAATTTCTCACTGTATGTTTTGACATTTTGCTAATTAATTAATTTATTCAAATTTAATCTCTTTTATCATACCTCATCACAACATGATAATGAATATAAAGCTGCTGATAAAGGTAAACTTTGCACATCTTCTTGCCACGTAGCATTCAAACAGATTTTAAATGTAGGCTAAAAATTCATTTCCTTTTTTTTTTTTTTTCTTTGTTTACTAATAAAATTTTAATTTAATATTAACTTTTTTCGATAAATTATTTCTCATAAATAAACAAAAATTTAAAGGTTAAAATTTAATAATATGCCGTGTTCAATTAATTTTTTGTTAAAATTAACATTTTTGATAGAATACAAGAATTAATGAATGAAACAACACTTATTGATTACAATTAATTCATTCATTTATCAATAATAATAAAAAAAAAAGTCAATAATTGTGGGATTTTAATAGAAATAATTGAAAGTTTTATTCGATTGCTTGTTTGTTTTCACTGTAAATATGATGTAAAACTATTATGCTATTTAATGTAAAATATTACTTATTTGAAATATTTAATTATTATTTATTTTTTAAAAAAAATCTAGAAATCTGTATGTAAAGAAAAAAAAAAAAGAAAATGAAAGCTTACTTCAATAAGAATGGAAAAATTTTTGATTGCTGCTTCATTTCTTATATGTTTAGTAAAATAAATACCCAAATTAGTTATTGCATTTGCTGAATTAATTGAAACCTAAAATTACACCTTTTTCTTTCCTTTACCTTTTTTTTTTTTAGTTTTATAAGTTAAAACAATATAATAAAATTGCTTTAAACATTCATTGCTAATAAGAAATATTGCAAATGAATAGTTTATTATATTATAAAAATGATTTTTTTGCATAATATGAAACAAAAAAGAAATAAATAAACTTTACTAAATATATTAAAGTATTTTCTTTAAAAAAAAAAACGAAAAACGAAAAATAATAATAATGATAAAAATAATAATAATAATAATAATAATAATAATAATAATAATAATAATTAAAAACCTCCTGTTCAAAAACATCTTTTACTGAACATAATAAATCATCTTTTTCACTTTCTGATTGCAAGCCACGTCTAAGATAGTCCACAAGTAAAACAAAATTTTCTTCTGGTAATTTTGCAATACATTCAGATGCCACTTCAGTTGAACTTTTGAGAAAACGATAAAAACTGAAATTAATTATATAGATAATTAATTAATTAATTAATTTAACTAATATTATAAATTCCTGATATGATATTGTTTATTTTAACATTTAATTTCTTTTTAATTTTCCTATTTAAGTCTAATTTAAATATTAAAAATAATTTGTTAAACTAAAAAAAAAAATCAACTTTTTGCACTAAATTTATATTCCATTTCGTTTTTTTTTTTTTTTTTCTTTTCATATTTAATTAGTAAGAATTTTATGTTTTCAATATTACCTTAATTAGCATAAAGTAGCATTTAAAAAAAAAAAGAAAATTTTAAATTTAAACTTTAAATTGGATAAGTTTAATTTAAAAATAATCTTTTAATTTAAATTTAATTTAACAATAATGGATAAATTTAATTTAAAAAATGGAATTTGTAATTTAGCAAAAAATAAACAAATAATAAATAAACAAACAAAAAATAAACAATTAATAAAAAATTTAGCAAAGTTTACTTCTTACGTAACATCGGTAATTTAAAGAAATCATATCTGATTAATGCTAATAGCACATTGCATGCCATAACAATAATCTGTGAACGACTTTCTGTAAGTATTGGTTTACCTAAACAAAAAAAAAAAAAAAGTAAATTAAAAATATTAAATTATAGTAAATAATATTTTAAAAAAAAGATAATAATAATTAGAGCAATTAGAGAATGATAAATTCATTAATTATGATGATAATAGTATTATAGTACTATCTATTATAATATTAATACTTTTTTTTTTCCTCTTTCTTTCATAGTGTAATTTTAATTTTAAATATGTAAATTTTAAATTATTTACTGATAACATCAATTGATAGAATTTTTTTTTTAATTGTCTAAAATTTTAATTAAAAATGAAATGAAACAACAAACCAGTTAACAAATTGACCGGTCGATTTCGTTTATCCAAAACATTTATGAGAATTTCTAATAAAATAATTAAATCTGTTGCTTTCTCTTTACTAACGAATGTCTTATATCGTTCTGCTTGCTCCACTTCATACATTTGAACAAGTTCTAATAGCATCTTTAAAATTTTATAATTTATTTAATTAAATTTAATTTTATTTAAATTATATCAAATGTTATTCATTCATTGAATTATTTCTTCTTTTTTTTTTTTTTCTTATAAATATATAAAAAAGAATTGCAATTCAATTCTTTTAATTATTAAAAATATCAAAAAGAAATATTTGTTTTTTTTTTCATTTTATTAGCAAATTAATAATAATTTACAAATTAACAGATAATTTTAATTTTTCATAACTTTTTTTTTCCAAAATTTAATTTTGCTTTCTTTTTAATTTGAAAATTAAAAAAAATTAAAAATGGAATAAGCTAATGCTAAAAAATGCTAAAAAAGAAGATTGGAATTGAAATAAAACAAGAATTAATATTTGAAATGAAAAGAAATGAAATATAATCACATCGTAAATGAATAGCATATTATTATGATTATCACAATAGATTGATAATCGTTTTGTGAAGCAATTAAAAAATTGAAGAATAGCATTAACAACTGATATCGAATTTCCATACAGTGATAATAGATCAATGCAAAAATTTAGCACTGGTTTTAGATATTCTAAAATAATGAATAATTAATTTAAACAAAAAAAAAAAAAACATTGTATTATTATAATTAATTATCAATTTTTTTTTCTTTCATTGATTTTAATTTCTTTATCGTTAAAATTTGAAAATTTCAATTATCAAATGAAATAACAAAAAAAAAAAATTTTTTTTATATATCATATAAATATAAATTATTATTTATTACAATCATTTAATAATTTTAATACAAAAAAAAACGAAATGAAAATTTTTAACCAAATAGAAAATCTGCTAAACATTTTTGTGTTGCATCAGCTATTGCACAAAAATATTCCAATAAATCTTTAACATTTTCACTTGTTGCTATTGGTTCCTCACATACTGCCATAAATTTTTCTCTTATAGGTATTAAAATCTATAAAAAAAAAAAAAGATATATAATTTAAATATTTTTTAATTAATAATTATTAAAATTTAAAGAAAATAATAAATGAAATTAGTATACAAAATTAAAATTAAATTTATTATTTTACGCAAAATTTATTCAATTTTAATTTATATATAGCATTTGATAATTATTATAATTAAAAAATTTAAATTAATATATTTCCTCTTTCTCTTTTTCTTTCTTTGTTTATTAAATAATAATTTACAATAGCAAAATTTGTTGAATTAATTAATTAATTAATTAACTAATTAATTAAACAAACCATTTCATGTAAAATTTGCTGTTTTCCTTCATCATTAATTATACTGCCAAATTGTATTAATACTTTTAGCAGCGATGAACGAAGTGCTATTTGCTCAATGTTTATGGTTGTTAAATATGAATATAAATAAATACTCTTTGATGTTTCACGGCATGTTGTATATGCTAAAGTAGAAAGTAATTCAATTGCATCCGTACAGATCCTAAAATTTTGAAATTAATTACTATCTGTTATTATTTTAAATTTAATTTCTATTCTTATTAATACTGTTAACAATTATTATGATTATTGTGTGTTATTATTTAAATTTAAATTGCATTATTATTAATATTGGTAATAATAATAAATATTATTATATGTTATTATTTAAATTTAAATTGTATTATTATTAAATTCTGTTCTTCTTCCTATTATTATTATTAATATTGTTAATATTTATTATTATTTATTTATTATTATTACGATTATTTGTTTACTGTTATTTAGGTATTTATTTATTCTCACTAATTTATTTATTATTATTACTGTTACTATTGTTACTACTATTCTTATTGTTATCAATATTATTAATAATTACTGTAGTTTTATCCATACTATTAGGTTTCTATTTTAATTATTTCTTTCTCATCTATTTTGATTATTCGTTAATTTTTATTTCTCAAATTATCAAATGTAAATATTAAACATACAAAAGTTAACTGTTATGTAAATAACATTTGCTAAATTATTAAAATTTACCAATATTATATCAAAATTAAGTTAACTAACTTTTTATCATCTGGCATACATTCAAGTATTCGAAATGATTTTTGCAATGCAAAATCAATTAGTAATTGAATAATATCTTTTGATACTTTAGCTAATTGATTTGCTTTTCCACCAAAAATTTGAATATGTCTTCCAAGCGCTGAAATTAAACGTTTTGCGCACCACAGCGATGTGCCACACAATTCTATGCTTATTGCTTCCATGCCATGATCTTTTAGAAATATATCTTCAATTGAGAACCATGCAAATACAGTACCAATTATTCTAGAAATTAATTAATTAATTAATTAATGTTTTTAAAATTAATAAATATATTTGTACATAAGTTATTTTATACCAAAGACAATTTTTTTAAATAATATATTCTAAAATAATAATGCAATTTTTAATTTTAAAAATTTTAATGAATCAATAAAAAGTCATTTTTTTTTTTTTTTTTTTGTTTTTTATTTATTTTTTGATATATATTTTTGAAATTAAATGAAATTTTTATACATTTTCTTTTTTTTGTTAGAATTATTAATAAATTTATGCAAAACATTAATTGTATCTCTTTTAGAAAGTTTTCTTTTTTTTTTGAAATAATAATTATTTTAGTATATTTCAAATGTTATTTATACTACTCATTAACTTACTTACTTTATCACCAAATCAACATCTGATGGATCAGTTAAATCTTGCGGTTCATCAATACATGCTTTAATATATGATGCATAAGTACTAAAATCATTATCTTCTCTTGTTACAACATTTTCATAATAATTTAATATACTATTTTGAAATATACAATTATGATTGTCATCTTCCTCGACTAAACTATGACCTAAAAATCAAATAATTATTTATTAAATCATTATTGAAATAAAATTAAATAACAAAAAAATTTTTTTTTACTTTTCTTCAAAAAAAAACGAATTTTAATAATAAAAGTTGATATTTGTTTTTAAAATTTGTTTTTAAAAAAAAAAAAAAATGTTATTTATACTACTCATTAACTTACTTACTTTATCACCAAATTTTTTTTAAAAAAAAAAATTTTAAAATTTGTTTTTTAAAAAAATTTGTTTTGTTCTTAAAACTTATAATTTGTTTTTAATTAAAAATTCATTCAATCATTTTTTATTTCAACCTTTAATAGTTCATAAAAAAAATAGTAATATTTAATTGTTAATAAGAAAATTTAGTTTATTTTAAGTAAATAATAAATAAATAAATAAATAAACTTACCAACAATAAGTAAAATCCAATGCATATTTTCTCGCCACATATTTAAATCCTCTACAGTTACATGTGTTTCCATTGTTGAAAGAAATTCTTCTACTGTTTCAGCAAGTATTCTAAAATTTTATTTTTAATAATATTTACAATTTAAAAAAACAAACAAACAAACAAGCAAATGTGATTATTTATGAAAGTGAAACCAAAACATTTCATAAATATTTGAAATAAATTAATTTTAATTGAAATATAATTTTTTTCTTTAAAACATACGTAAATATTTTTGGTAATGTTTGACCAAAGAAATATGATGAAAATAATCCTATTTTTACTAATATTTCTTTGAAAATTTCACGATCAGGTAATGGTACTGAAATCTAAAAATTAATTTATTAATTAATTATTTATAATTTTGATATTTTTATACAACATTTTAATCCTAAATATTTAGTAAAGAAAATAATGACGAAAAATTTCTTCACTAATAAATATTGTTAATAATTTATATATTATACTAACATACTATAATAAAGAAAAAATATCCTAAATTAAAATTCTAAAAAAAAAAATTAAAAATTATAGCAAATGAAATCAACCACTTAATTATTTTTTAAATTATACAAAAAAACAAAAACAAAACAAAACAGTTTTTTAAATTATAATTTTAACTTAAATATTCTAACAAAAAAAAAAAAAAGGAAAAAATTGGGAAAAAAATTTTTATTTTTAACTTAACTATTCTATCAAAAGAAAAATAAAAAATTGAAATTTAAAAAATGAAATAAATTAATTTAATTTAAACCTCTTCTCGTTCACCAAATGGAACAGAAAATATTGCATGCATAAATGATGAAATTATTGACATTGTCATTTTATAACCTTCAAACCAACGTCCTGTCAACTCTTTTACAAATTGCGCATTTTGCAAAACAATTGACCATCCTTTTAGTAAGTACTGAATGGCGCTAATGTATGCCCATTTTTGTGATGTAACTGTGCCACTTTGCGCCTCATTAGCAGCAGTTTCATTTCCATCCTCATTTTCGTTTCGCTGTTTCTGTAGTATAAAAATAAAAATAATTAAAAATTATAAGGAAAGAAAGGAAAATTAAAAAAATTGAAATTTGAAATTGAAAAGATTAAAGGGAAAACCTGAAGGAAATAATTGCCTTATTTATATTTATTAAATAATTAGTAAATGTTTATTTTTAAAAAATCATTATTTAGCTGTCTGTTGTTGTAAAATTAATGTTTTATTGTCTTATCAATTGATTGATTAAATTAAAAATTTTATTTGATGAAGTAAAATTGATTGAAATTTAACAAATTGTTATCTTACATTGAAATGGTTTAAAAAATTAATCAGTGCTAAATATTTAACATTAAATTCAACAATAAATTAATGCACATATTTTTTTAATATATTTTTAAATATATTATTTATATATTTTATATATACTTGTATTAATAATTCCACGTTTATCTTTTAAACATTTAAAACATTTAAAAAAAATATATATATATTTTTCATTTTATGACATTTAAACAATCGGAAATAAATAAGTTAATATTTTAATTAGCTAATTTGTAAACTAACCATAAGCTACTAATTAATAATAATTTAAATGATACAATAATTAATAATTTAGTCAATGCATAATAATTTAAATTTTGATCAAATAATATAAATATTTGCTAACATGTTTAATCTTTCAAATATTTGTTACAAATATTTGTTGTAAAATTTTTTAAATTATCACAAAATTGAAAGTTTATTATTCCATTTCTGCTCTTTTTTTTGATAATTATTGTCTTTTAACAAAAAAAAAAAAAATAAAGAAATAAATAAATGAAATAAACAAATAAATAAACTCGAATAATTTCACAAAGTAAAGCAGAATGATCAAAAATTCATTTGAAATTATATTTAAATTCTAATTTTAATCAAAACAAAAAACCAAAAACACGTCATTTTACGTGTACGTTTACCGAATCCAATAATTTTGCTGCAAAAGTTTTCATTAATATCGGAATGAATGATATAAAAGTTGGAAATGATGCTTCAGCGTGTGCAAGTGAATAAATTGAATGATTTGATAAGACATTAACAATTATCAAGCAATAATTATATATTTCTGGCATTACTGCTTCACTAAAAATTAATAATTTATTAATTAATTAATTAAATTTATATTTAATTAAATAATTGATATTAAGGATCATTTAAAATGATAGCATCACTTTTTTCTTTTTCAACTATTTTATAATTTAATATTCTGCTATCATTAAAAGAAAAAAAAGGATAATAGCATAATTCAATTGATGAAAAGTAGCATTTTAAAATATATAAAATTAATTAAATTATATACTAAATAAATTAATTAGTTAAAGAAAAAAAAAATTACCTATTAAAAATCCAAATAAGATTTGCAAGAAAATCTGATATATATCTATCATATGCTGTAACAAATGGTATACCACTTGATGACACTAATTTAAAATTTGAATCAGGTGTGATATCAATTAGGACGACATCACGTATTGATGCTAATTCAGTTATACAATTTGTTGTTAGCAATGAAATGGAGCGTTCATTACGAAAGAATTTGTGTAACTGAAAAATAAACACAAAAATAATTTTAAATTAATTTTTGTAATTTTTTTAAAAAAAAAAAGAAAAATTTTCTTTTTTTTTTCTTTCATATAAGATAGAAATTATAATTAATATTATAATATTTGTATATTAATGAGGAGAAAAAAATGAGTAATAATTAGATATTAATTAATTAATATTAATATTAATTAATAAAATTATTACAATCTGAAAATTATTGCTAATTGCAAAAAGTGATAAATTATTGATAAAAGAATATTTGTTAATATTTTCAACTTTTAAAAAAATTCACTCATTTTTATTATATGGTTTTTTTTTTTTTTAAATTTTAATAAATTGAAAATATATCATTGCTATTTCTTTTCTTTTTCCTTTTTTTTTTTTGATAATTATTTTTAATTAACAAAAAAAAAAAATAAATAAATAAATAAACAAACTTTAAAGAAAATTTGCAAGAATTCATTCCATAAAAATAATGGCTTCCATGTTTTTGGTGGTCCTCTGATTGCTCTACCACTTTTTTTGGAAAAATGATGAATTCCAAAATTTCGTTTAAAGATAAAAACTGATATTCGTAGCAAATATTCTATCATACTTAACTAAAATTATAAAATTATCATTAAATTTTATCACTCAAAAAAAAAAGCAAAAAAATTTTTTTTTAAATTTTAATTTTTTCAAAAATTAAATCATTATTTAAAAAAAAAAAAAAATACAAATCTATTCGATTAGTAATAAAAAGACAAATAAATAATTTAATTCTTTTGTAACTATTACTTTTATAAAGTAATAACTTTTACATAATTCAAAATATATCTTTATTTTAAATAACTATTTTAAAAGTTTAAAAAAAGTAAAACTTTTATTCTATTTAATTTTGAACAATGTTATTTTAAAAAAAAATATTAGAAAAAGAAAAAACATACACTACGAGAATCATTGAAATCACCAACGAAAACACAATGTTGAGAAATAATACGTATACATTTAGAAAAAATTTCTAACAAACCTCTTTCCTAAAAAGAAAAAAAAAAAAAAATTGAAATTTACAAAATTTATTTCAAATTATTTATAAATAATTATGTATTTCAATTATTCATTTGCTTATGTTAATTTGTTACACATTCAATTCAATTACATTTTAATTTGTGATGAAATAATTAATATAATTTATTTCTAACATTTAATATAATATAGCATATGCTAAAGTTATTTTGATATTAATTAAAATTTGTTATGTTTAAATGAGAAAAATTTTTCATTAATTTACAAATATCATTTAAATCTCACTTACTAACTGTTAAATTTCACTCTTTTTTATAATAATACAAATTATTTGATCCAAATATTTTAGACAAATTTGAAACTTTTATAAAATTTATAATTTATAAAATTTTTTTACAATTACAAAAAATGAAAAAATGGAAAAATACCTCAAAAGCAAGTTTAGCATAAAGTTGAAAATCATATGGGAGGCCAATATTATCTGCTTTCCAGCATTTATCAAATTCATCCAAAATTATAACAAAAAATTCGTATGTTATTCGATGCTAAAAATAAAAATTAAAAAAAATTTTTGTTAACTGATATAAAATATTTGTATTAAATTTTCGTTTCTTATATAATAATAAATTATTTTATTTAATATTATTATCAAATTTAACAAAAAAAAAAAGAGAAAGAAAATTTAAACTTATTATATTACTCTAAAATTTCAATATGTTACATTAATTGATTAAACAATTTTAATTTTCTTAGAAAATTATTTATATGCAACATTTTGCTAATTTGATAGACATTATCAAAAAATTTATTATCAAAACTTAATCATCAAAAAATTATCAAAAAAGTTATTTAATCAAAAAAGTTAATATCAAAACTTAATTATCATAAAAGTTAGTATAATATATATACATTTTAATGATAAGAATTGATAAATATTTATTATTAAATTAAACTTTTAACAAAACAATTTTATTATCATTTGTTGATAATAATAACAACTTTTTTTTTGTCATTTGAAAAATATAAATTAATCTTTTTAATCAGTAAAAAAGAAAAAAAACAAAAAACTTCCAATTGTTTTTTTTTTTATGATATGATAAAAATTTTTTGTTTCTTTTTATAAAAATAAAAAAAAAAAATAGAAGAAAAAAAGAATTAATTACAATTTCAGGTTCACGATCAGTAAATAGAACATAAAATTTTGATGCCAATGAATCGAAATCACATGCATGGCCATCAAAAGTGGAACGTTTCAATAGTTTAGCGCATGATCTCAACATTTCGGCTCGAATTTTCAGTGATTTTCTGTTAATTATAAATGGAAAATAAAAAAAGTAAATACTAAGTAATTATATAATTTAATTAGAATTTGATAATCTTTTATCAATTTCTAAACAAAAAAATTTATCACAAAATAATAATATGTAGTCAATCAAAACAACATTTAATCGATCAATTAATCAATTAATCTTGTAATCGATCAAAATAGCAATCAATCGATCAGTTAATCAATTAATCTTGCAAACAGCCAAAACAGCAATTAATCGATCAATTAATTAATCAATTTTGTAATCAGTCAAAATAGCAACCAATCGATCAGTTAATTAATTAATCAATTAATCCTGTAAACAGCCAAAATAGCATTTAATCGATTAATTAATTAATAAACAGCCAAAATAGCAATTAATCGATTAATTAATTAATTAATTAATAGCAATTAATCGCAATTAATCGATTAATTAATTAATTAATTGATTAAATAAATTGTCTAAGCATATATTAGCCATTGTTAAAACTAATAAATATCTACCTGAAAATTCAATAAATGTGATAAAATTTTGATATAATAATTGCTATTATCTGTTTTTTTTTTTTTTTTTTTTTAAATTTATTTTGTGACAAACTTTAAAAAAAAAAAAAAAATTGAAACGAAATTATTATTATTGTCTTTTTTCATTTCTTTAGATCATTTTGTATTTTATTAAATGATATAAATTTTGTTTATGCATAATTTTCATTCAGTTGCAACTGAGATTATTATGATAATTTCAAATTTCAAATTTGATTTCTCTTATAAAAGATAAAATTGTTATATTTTCTTTTTTTTTTTTTTTTATGATATTCAATTACTGTATACCCATATTTGAATAAAGCTCTTCCTAAGAAATAATCAAAATGATCTCTTTTAATTCTAGGTTCTAATGTTGTCCATTTTCTGATGACAATGAGAGCAGAATTTTGAACCAATGTGCAAATGACGAATTCACTAGAAGTTTCCTCTGAAAACAATTAACCCCGAAATATTAACTTTCAAAAAGCTAAAGTATCAAAAAAAAAATTTAAATTTCAAAATATTTTTTAAAATTTAAATAACAATTATTGTATGATAGAAATAATTTTTCATAATTTGCTATACAAAAATTTTTTATGTAAACTCTAAATAAAATGAATTTATTAATTTTTCAAAAATAATTTAATTGAAAAAGATGCGAATGAGTGAAAACAAAAACAAAAAATTTTATTTCTTTTGTCTAATTTTCTAATTTAAAGCGTTTTTTTTTTGTCACTCAGCTAAATGAATTAATTTGTTAAGTGAGATAATTTGAATTCAATTAATAATCTAATTAATTTAAAATAGCAATTTTTCTTCATTTCAAATATTTTTTTAAAAAAAAAAAAAAATGTTTAAATGAAAAGCACAAGAAAAGCTACCAACCGAGAATTTCACGACATTGTTCCAAAGTTAGCCGATTAGCTAAATTGCTAAAATACATTAATGCTGCAAGATGTTGAGGTGATGAAGCTGGTACTGATGCCTAAAAAAAATTCATTTTAATTTAATTAGTTTTAAGTAATTAAATTTTAATTAGTCCCTTTTTTTTAAAAAAAAAAATTTACTAAAAATTCCTGCAAATATACCAAAATGCAAAATTATTTAATTTTTTTTTTCTAATTAAGCTCTTAATTAATTAACTGTTTATGCTAATTTAAACAAACAATTGCTTTTTTATTTTCTTCAATTTTTCATTTCAAATTTGATTTTTAATTTTTTTTTTTTTTATTCTACTAAAATTATTCAATTTTTTCTTTTTTATTGATTGATTGATATAAGTTTTAAAAATAATAAAATCTTTCGTTTTTTTTTTTCAGTGGAATAAAAAATTTAATTTTTTTTTGTGAAAAAAGAACAAAAAAAAAAAAAAAAGTAGCTGTAATAATATTTTAAGAAATTTAATACAAATATATTAAATTGATGAGTGATTTGTTTTTTTTTTTATGCAAATTTAAATTTAATTTTAATTCAATTTAAGAATTTAAATTAAATTTAAATGAATTAATTAATAATAAAAATTAATAAAAAATTATGAATAAGCGCAAACGCTAAGTTGTTGAGCCATTTGTTCAATTTCTTCAATTAGCCTTTCATTAATTTCACGCCTTACAGCAGGCGCTGGTTTCCTTCCTTTTCGCATTTTTAAAATCTTTAATAAATATTTAAATTTCAATAAGCATTTAAATTTAATTACAATAATATGATGCAATCCTAGTAATCATAGTAATAATAATAACAAAAAGAAAAAAAAAGTAGAAAAGAAATTTAATTTTTAACAAAAAAAGGATGAAAGAAATTAAAAAAAAATTTTAATAAAAATATAGGAAATGTTTATCAACAAAAAAAAAAGAAATTATCACATAAAAATTAATTGAATTTTTATAAATAAAAGAAAAAATTGAATTGAATAATTTTTAATTTAATTAAATAATGTAAATAAATAAATAAAAATAAACTATTTATCAAAGTGATTGTAGAATAAAAGTAATAATTGTCATCAAAAAATTATTATTTGGCGCGTGTGCTACATAATTGATATATAAATATTATATCAATTTTAGATAATAATAATTGCTAATATGATCTAACTTAAATATCATTTTATTCGAGAAAATTTTTTTTTTTTTTTGCCAAACTTTATGCCCAGAAAAATTTGATCAAAAAAGAATTTTTTCATCTCTTTTTTTTTCTCCTGAAATTTCGAGAAGATTTGATAAAGAGAAGAAAAAAGTTTTTTTATCTACTTTTAATTCAAAAAAAAAAAATTAGCGTATTAATAATTTCAAATATTCATTTAAAAGATGAAAAGGAAAAAAAATGATTCTGCTAAACAATAACAATAAACAAATTATAATAAGCATTAGTGAGATTTTATTATTATTATTATTATTACTAATTAAATATATAAAAAAACAAAAATAATAATTGTAAATTTTTAACAACAATTTTAGTTAAAAGAAAAAAAAAACGAAATTTTAACAAATATAATAGGAGCACTAATAGAATTTTAATTTTAATAAAAATATAAGAAAAGTTTATCAACAAAAAAAAAAAGAAAACTTTATAATATAAAAATTAAATATGAATCTGATAAGGTTTTTCTAAAAAAAAAAAGTGGTATACAGATATTGAAATAGTACTATGAAACGGAATTTTTAATGATCTGAGAAAAATTGAAATTTTTTTTTAAATTATTTTGTTGAAAATTAAAATTAGCATATGCAATTTGAATTTCATATGTAATTAATAATATTTATAATATTCAGTATATATATTGTATTTATTAAATATATAAATTCAAAATTTACCAATTTTGTTATTAATAATTCTATTATTATTATTAATTAGCGTTCATTAGAAAATTAATATTACTTTAAATTAATATTAAAATTAATATGATCATTTCATATTTTAAATCAATTCTGTAATTTATGATACTTTCAGATAGTAAATTTTTAGTAACAAAATGTTATTTCAAAATTTTCTGATAGATTATGCAAATTAATAGTTTATAGTAATATGAAGAAAAGTTATTTAATAAACAAATTATCATTTTCTACTTAATAAATTTTAATTATTGAAAAATTTTTTTTTTAATGCTAATGTGTTGTTAGCTTAATTGTTTTGTTATAATTCAAAAAGAATTTGTTGCATCTAAGAAACAAATTTTCCATCTGATTATCATTGCTTTGAATAATGATATGATAATAATGATAACATACTAAAATTGATGATAATACACTAAAATTAAATATCGTACTTTTTCAAAAATGATTATATACTAAAATTAATAATGTATATATTAAAATTAAAAATGATAATATAGTAAAATTAAATATAATACTTTTTCAAAACTGATTATATTCTAAAATTGATAATATATACACTAAAATTAAGAATGGTAATATACTAAAATCAGTATTTTTTCAAAGTTAAAAATCTATTTTAAAAATAAAAGAAGCATAAATTGAAGTTTGCAAGTAAATCTACTAAAACTTAAGTAAATATTATCAAATGATAGTGTAATTTAAGTTTTTTACTAAATAATCATTATAAAATCAAATAATCACTTTAAAAATTATTGTTTTCTGCAAGAGTTTATCAGATAACTTTATTTTACTAATTTATAATTCATAATTACTAAACGATTTTTATCATTTAGCATTTTCTATCATTAAGGAAAAAAAGGCATATGTATTGATTAATTAATTAATTAGGATTAATTAATAAAATTATTTTAAAAACATTTTTTTTTTTACTATTTTCTTTCTAAAATAACAATTATTTTAGCAAATTCTGAAGTTTCCAAGAAAAAAAAGCCAATCATCACTTTAAATTATTTAAATTACTCTTTTATTCCATCCATTTGATATTGTCCCACATTATCTTAAATATTATTATTATATAATAAATGATAAAATAAAAATTACAAATGAGATAAATGAATGATAAAATGATAGATAATATCATTTGATTGAGTATAATAATACTCTTTTGCTTGTTTTTATTTCTTTAAAATTAAAAAAAATCTAATAATTGATAAAGCTGAGATATATCTCAAATTTTGAGAGGAATGAAAATGATTGCAAAAAAGAAAATTAGTCAAATTTAGCTTATCAGTAATTAATCCGAGAATATATTCTTGAATAATTTCTTCATTTTATTAAATGAAGTCATTTCATGAGGTCATTTTTCAATCAACTTTCTTTTTGTTACCATAACCGTTGAACTTGACCTTTTGAAATATTGGAAAGGAATTTGTGAAAGCCAATAAATGATATTAGAAGCAGAGATGCACCAATTACTTTTCACTTTTTGGCATTGTTAGCCATTAAGTCATTCATCAATAATTTGTTCCTTTCTTTCTTTCATTTCAAATATTAGTTAATAGCTATTCCAATTTAAATTTCGATTCTCATTTTCACTTCGATTAATTTACTTAGACATTTGTGTAATGCATTTCTCTTCTTTAATTGTTTCTATTCTTTAAAATAATCTAATTTCAAAAGTATTTCTAATTCGAAATTATGCTATCAAATTTTTATTTGCAATGATTTGTCAGAATGCTTTTTCATTCAATTCATCTCACAATTTATCAAAATGACGGAAGGAAACTGATCGTACACTTAGCAAAATATAATTCCCAGATGACATTAACTCTTCATTATGTGTTAATTGGCTAAACAGTGTTATTTGTCTGTGTACTATTATTTCAATAAATCATCGTCCAAAAATACCCCTCGAGAATTTAGGTTAGTTTACATAGAAATATTTATTAGTGCTTCAAAAACTATTTTTTTCTTCGTTTTTCCTTACGTACGTCATTTACGTGGCATTTCACTACTTTAACTTTATATGTTTGTTTTTATAAATTGCAATTATTCGTTGTAAAAGAATTATTTACTCAACTGATTTTCTAAATCCATCGGGAATCCCTTTTTCTCTCGAAATTGTTCATTTTGATTCTTTTTTTGTAGTTAAATTGCGTTCAATTACAAAATAAAATTTATTCAATATTATTTCTTTGATATAAAATATAGAAAAAATTAAGCCACATTTTCAGGCACAATTTTTTACAACCAAATATTAGAGCGATAATGTAGCACAGAAGCTATAAGTAGAGAACAAAAACATGTACAAAATAGAATAATCTCAACTAAGTTTCATGAATGACAAGAAAAACAGGTAACATTAAAAAAAAAAAAAAAAAACTACACTAACATTCTGATGCATTTATCAATTATCAATTAATTTTATTCAACAACAAGTAAACCCTGTGCTTGATTTAGAAATTGCTCCAAACGGTCACGAAATTCACGCTTTTCACGTCGACCTAGATGAAACTCTAAATTGGCTGGTAATAAAGCTTGAAATGCTGATTGAAGGGTTGCCTGATATGGGCGATTTTCATCACGAGAAAGTAACTGCTTGACGTATTCCTCGAAAGCAATCTAAAATTTGGCTTAAATAAAATAATTTGATAAGAATCATTGAATACAAAGTATCATAAAATATAAAATATATTAAAAGGCAGAAAATATTGAAAGCATAGAGGTAGAGGTACTCAAAATCTCACTATGAAAAAACAACATAAATTAAAGTAAGGATGGAAGCGAACAATGAATGCAAAATACTGATATGATCACATTTTAAAAGTTGAAATAACGATTTTCCTTTTTTTTTTAGAAAGTCATAGAAGATTGGCAATGTCAACTGTTAAGCGTAATCGATTAAAATATCATCCCATTTTTTATCTTATATTTTTCACATCTAAAACAGTGCACTAATTTTCTCGATTTATCAATTTAGATTTCTTGTCAAGCATACAAAAAATGTTTTGAAAAAAAAAAAAAACAACAGTAATATATACCTGATTGCAACATATCAAAGCGAAGAGAGCCGTTGCAGAAGCATTTTGTAAATCTACTTGCCAGGAGCAACTCAGACACAACCCAAATGTTGGCTAGAAATTTAATTAATTTTGAATATTCATTTAACGGATGAGAAGATGAAAGCAATAGGCCACTCATTAGTATGATGAATCAAGAATCTAACAATGTCTGTTAAAAGAAAGCATTTTAATTTTTTTTTTTTTTAAACCACGGAATTCATTTCATGTTGTTCCTGAATACCTATGAGCCAAAAACTGGAAAAAATTGTGACTAAGCCTAATGTATGATAAAAACAAAATTATTTGGAAATTATTATTTGATGTAAAAATATCACAAAAGCAATAATAGATTGTTTATGAAAATTTTTTAAAAGCGTCATGAAACTTGCCTCAAGAAGAACAGCGAGATGTGATATAGCTGTCTCATTCTTTGGTGTAAGTCGAGTAAAATACGAAACCACTTCAGTTACTGTTTCAGCAGAAATTAACGAAATCTGAAATTCATATATTATGGAAATGTAATGGAACATATAAGTTAATTAAATCTAAAAAAAGAAAAGAAAAATCAGCTTAATGATTATCATCAGAACTAGTATAAAGTAATTAGCAGTAAATTACTAATGTGATATAAAACTTAAAGTTAATAATGTTACGAAATGAAGAATGAAAAATAAAAAAGGAGAAATTAGAATAGCTGAAAACCTTAATTTCATTATTTGTACTCAAAACAACAGATGGTTATGGTCATTTCGAATTTTTTATTTTGCTTGTACATAAAATCATAGATAAGACTTATACGAGCAGTAAAATATTCATGAGTTTTCCATCTTACAGAAGTACATTTTATAAAATTTAATTTAAATTAATGGCTCCTTTTCTGAAAAAAATTAATTTTTGTGCATATGAAAAGAAATATAAATGCCATCCGCTACCTCTTGGCCGAAATCTGATCTCAAGCCATGCCGAAGACATTCAATAATTGAAACAAATAGCGCTTCTGGTAAACTTTCAAGAGTTTGTGGTGCCATTTCAGTAAAATATAAAATGAAGCGATAAAATCTGAAATGAATATTAACAACCAAAACGTAAAAGTTTTATATTGAATAACAGTTAAATCATTATTTCTTACAGTCAATCAAATCTCTTATTTAGTAAATTTTCATGGTGAAAAAAAAATTACAAACTTGAACAAAACCTACTTTCGGCATAAGGAAGGTAATTTGAGCAGATCATCTTCCATAATAGGCAATAACATCTCTAAAGCAATTAACGCAACACGAGAGCCCATTGTTGCAAACTCTGTTGTATCTAAATCATCAAAACGATTATAAAAGATAATAAATGGAAATTATTTAGATATTTATCCTCGTATCATAAAATCCATCTACAGTCATGTATAAATCAAGTTAAGAAGCTGTTCCAATTCCAAATATAAACTGTTGCATTTCCAGTTAAAACTGAAGTTTTTAGTCAAATTCTATCTCAAACTTCATAGAAGTTAACAAAGAGAGAAATCAAAAAAGCTAACATTTTTTTTTCCGAAATTTAAATATAACAAAAAGAAAAGAAAGGAACCGGATGAAGATAAAGGAATGATCGATAAGTCATCCTTGCTCAAAACATTGGCGAGAATATCCAACAGTATGATTAAATCAGATGCTTTCTCTTCAACATCAACATCAATTACTTTATAACGCGTAAACTGTCCATCCCGATATACTCTAATAAGTTCTAGCAATGTCTATAAAAAAAAAGTAAATTTTGAACGCTTCAAAATTTAAAAGATTTTTGGAAAACTCATTAAGCAGCAATGATTTTTAATTATAGATACAATCCAGAACTTAAACAAACAAAGAACACTATGCAACAAATCCACTCAGACATTAATTTACGAAATTACCTATCAGTTAATAGTACAGAATCTCTTTTACAAATTCAATATAGCTTCTGTCAGTTTTCATTATCATCAGAAAATTTAATTTACTGATTATAGAGATGCAGTCATAATATATGAAAATTAATAGCTACCTCACAGAGGAAAACCATATCGCTATGATTTTCACTATATACACCCATACGTTTTGTGACATTGTTGAATAAATCCAAAACTGCATTAGTAAGAAGTTGAGATTCTTTGTACGATAGCAGTAAACTAATTGAAGATGTCAAAATTGGTGATAAGTATTCTGAAAAAAAACATTTCAAAATTGTTACAATCAAATTTGTTATGCTAAATCTTTTTACTGATTTAACATATATTATATATTATATATATATATATATATATATATATATGCTTGAATTGAAATTTAAATATACCAAACAGAAAATGAGTGTTATGATTTTGAGCAGCTTCAGCTAAACCACCGAAACAATCCAATAAATCAACGAGATCTGTTTCTAAGCTTGTTCGTTCCTTAGACAGTAACATAAATCTTTCGCGAAGTGGTTGCAATACCTGTAGTATAATCGTGATAAAAGAACTGAAACAATCATTTCTATAACTTTTTGATCTGACAGAAAATATAGCAAAAGAGATTCATTTATTAAACTAACCATTTCAGATAACATTTTCTTTACATTTTCATCATTAGCCATGCTACCAATTTGCACTAATACTTTAATAAATGAATGACGAGCTGGTAGTCGTTCAATTTGTATCGTTGAAAGACATGGAAAAAGAAAAGGACTTTTTGCTGCTTCATTACATCCAGCACATACCAAACCAACAAATACTTCCACTGCATCCAGACAGAGTCTGTAATTGAACAAATCGTAAAAAAAAAAAAAAAAAAAAAATAAGAATAGCAAAAGCAGCAAAAATTTGATAATAGACCAATTATACATAAAATAAAAAAATATTTCCATTCATTCGTAAATTATTTATACGATTGATATGGAAATTGAATAACAACTAGATTCAAGTATTTTTTTAAATTTTTTCTCAAGTTCATATAAAATATAGAATATGTTGACACTAATTATTTTTATTTCCAATTTGTAATAGATACTATAATTAATTAGTCGTATTAAAAGAAAAAAATAATAATACATGTATAAAAACAAACTTGTGCTCGCCTGACAAATTGTTTAATATACCAAAAGATTTTTGTAAAGCAAAATCGACCATTGCTTGCAAATTTTTTTTTATTATACTTGCTAATTGCTCACTATCCTCAGGATTCATAACATGAAAACCCAATGAGCATATCAAACGTCTCATACACCAAAGTGATGAACGAGCTAGTTCTGGACTTATTGCTTCAGCACCACGATCCATCAATAATTTATGTTCGATGGAACACCAAGCCAAAACTACACCTATTATTCTAGAAATAATTACAATTTTAGCACTATTCGTATAATAGAAATCGAATTTATTAATTTCAAACAAAATACTGTTATCATTAAAGGCGATTTAATAATATCTTTAAAGATAAATAATATTTAAAAATTTTTTAAAGCTTGTTTAAATAAAATTTTTATCGTGCCAATACATGCATCTTTTCATATTGAGACATTTTCTAACTTAATACATACTTTGTTAGAGGATCTACTCCTGCACGATCAGTAATTGTATTTGGTGAATCAATGCAAGCTTTGATATATGGCACAGAATAGATCTCTACAACTTCACCATATGATTTATTTTCAAAATGTTCCAGGACATCACTTTGCAAATGTGAACTACCATCATCATCACTCACTGTTAATATAAAGCCTGGAAAATTTTACAAAGATATTTTTTCAAAATGATTAATTAGTGATGTAGTTTGAATTGGTTTTAGATTAAGTAAAAGAAAAGTGTAACGATTGATTTGTGAAATCTTCATAATATCAATGATTTTGTTTCCATAAGCAATAAAAAAATTTCAGTTATAAATCTCACCAGTTAGAAGCAAAGACCAATGCATATCATCTCGCCATGTATTTAATGTTTCATCGTTTACTCCTACTTCTATGAATGACAGAAATAGCTTTAACTTGTCAAAAAGTAGCCTGCAAAAATGACAATTTACTACAGCGAAAGAAAAAAGCAATATGTCAATATAATATAAATTTCATCTTGAAGAAAAATAGATTGTTTTTGACGTCTCTTATACTTCATGAAAATGATTCTAAAATATCAGATCTAATTAATAACTTAAAAAAAAAAAAGAGACAATAATAGTTGTAGAAGCCTAATGAATGGTTTTAAAAAAGAAAACAAGTAAACTTACGTAAACATCCGAGGTAACAACTGAGGGGAATAAAACGCAGAAAAGCGCCCTATAGAGACCAATAATTCTTTAAATATTTCACGGTCATCATCAACTTCGTCATCGCATTCTTGAATTGGAACCTGGAAAGCAATTGAAATAAAATATATACGATCTGAGCAAACTAATAGTGGCTTTATTTTTTGTAACCGTCGTTCTTCACTTATTAATGTGAATATATATGTTTTAAAAAAGTAATAAAAAATAAAAAACATGTTGAAACGTGAAATAATTTGCAGTTTTGAACTAATATATAACTCAACATCAAATGCCCTTGGTACTGAGCAACTAATAAGCAAGTCCAACATTATCTACAGTGATCAGTTCAAGTAAACATGTAAAGTGGAAAATCTAAAACAATTCCAGATCAAAAAAAAAAGTATGCAACTAATAGCTAATACCTTTACGCGGCAACCATAGGGTTCCGATAAAACTGTTCTCATAAACGCCGAAATGATAGTTAGGGTTGATTCATCGAAATTAACAGGATAACGGGAAGCATTTCGGATAATATCGCTATTTCGAAGCATCACCCACCAACCATCGTACAAGCTTTGCAAACTCTCAAGATAGAGATGATCATCTTCTTTCTTGAAAAATAATTATTAGTCAGTTGATTAGAATATTAACAAATTGTTCATCTATATCGACTGTAACAATTAATTGTGACTAAAATAATGAGCTCTGGGTAAAAACGAAATTATCTAGGCAGATAGAAATTTAATAATGATTGTGAAGAATTAAGATGCAGAAGGAATTTAAAAATCCCAAGACTTTATCCAAAACGATTTTCATTTCTATCATCTCTATCTATTAAATCTCAGATATAACATAAAAATTAATGATTTTTTTAAAAATTTTTGTAAGCAAATAGTCATATACGTCTTACCAAAGCTTTCTGCATAGCAATCGAAGTTAAATGTTCAGTACATTGTACAATAATGTTCACAAATGTTACAAATGACATTTCGGCTCGCGGAAACGAAAGAATTCGATGATATGTCAATAATTTATATACGATTAAGCAAAGGCCAAGTATTTCTCCTTCTAATGGACCGCTGAAAATTAAAAGCCTATTAAAATCGAATTTAATTTACAAAAACCATTTATATATATGAAGGGAAGATGATGGCAGCGATGGCCTTTAAGAAGTCACATAGAGTCTTTCTTTTGTCATCAGCAGAAAAATATGTGCAGTAGATAAAAGAATCAATTTCAATTTTAATGCAGTTGATTAGTGAATTAGATTTACACTTTGCATACTTTCTACAACGTTTAAAATGATATTTTTTTCAATGAAAAGTGATAAATCATTATATTTTACTCATTTCATGTTAACTCATAAATATTTAGAAACTTCATTAATCGTTAAAAATGTTATGCTCAAGAAAAAAAGCTCAACAAGTTTAACTTCGAGAAAAAAAAAACCTTCCAAAAATGTCTACAAATCCAGCGATAAAATTTGATACAAATCGATCATGAGCATTAATAAAGCTTGAAGTACTGGTTGTAGATAATTTCTGGCTAATAACTGGTTCACTATCAGTCAGAACAGGTCCTATCAATGAAGATAACTGAATAAGGCAATTCAATGAGTGCATACAAAGTATTTCATTGTGACGAACTCGTTTGTGTAACTGAAAAATTATCCATGCTCAATTATATACTTACTTTTATTGGTGTGTTTTTGAAGTAATGAAGTAACAATATGGTACTTTCACTATCTTTGAGATTCTAAGATAACAATATGCCGTACTGTCATAAGTGTATTTTGACGAATAATATTCAGTAAGTTTTTTTTTTTTTTTTTTAAACTCAATAAATGCACCGTCTACAAGAAGACATACGAAATCACACGCAAACCTCAAAGAAGAGGCGTAAAAATTCGTCTGACTGAAAGATTGGTTTCCATGATTCAGGAGGACGCAATGTTGCAGCAGGTGCTGCTTCATTTGCAAAAGTGATTCGAACCGGAAAACGACGAATCTCGAAATTCCAGGAAAGAACTAAATCGGCTACTCGAAGAAAATTTTCACATATACTCATCTGAATAGAAGAATAAATAAGACATAACTGTAAAAATTTCTTTCATTTCAAGAAACTAGAATCTTATATTCAGCTATTGAGAGTTGAAGTCATTGTACCAGGCAGAATGATCGAAATTAAAATCTTTCAGTTCGCTGATTTATTCACGTCATTCACGCAAAAAGAAACAAAGAGGACAAAGACTTTTTCAAAGACAAAAAAATCTATTAATAAAAAGTGATGGAAAATAAAGCTTTCAAAAAATGATGAAAATGCTTAGTTTACGAAATCTATTCCTGCTGGCTGTCATACCTCCTAAAGGAAAAGCTTCTAATCTATTCCAGGTAGGATTTGTTGCTTCCTTTCCTGAAATTGATCACCTATTCGTAATCAATTTTTCAGTACAGTTTCTATTGCATTTAGGGATGAAGAGCAGAAATAACCACAATTATTCCTCTTAGTTGCCACACTCCCTAAAGGAAGATTGTTAAAGAAAAGTAAGATACAAACGTAATATGGTAAAGAGAGATCAACAGTGCAGAGAATTTCGGAGAAAGTACGTATACACTTTTCGAACAACCGCTGCAAGCCTCCGCTCTAAAATGTTTAATGTTTATGATTTATTAATTTAGGAATTAATAACAAAAACTAACTGATTAAATTAGCGATATTGTTTTAACAATCACTTGTGAAAATTCGAATAGTTTATACAGGTTTTATCTCTTTCATTCTAATAATTCTGCAACAACTAGCAACTATAAATTGTTAATTGTACTCCTTTTATTTTTTTTCCTATTTTTTTTTTTTATCTACTTCATTATTTCATATTTTTTGTCCTATTTTAGGCAATGCTAATGCACGATTAATTATTATCAGCCTTTTTGTGCACCTCATCATAGTAAAACTAACAATTTAGAGTGGATATAAAAAATTCTCTTCCTTAGAATTTGCATCAAAAGTTACAGAAAAGATATTACTGATAGCCATTACAAGGCCGAAAATTTTTTAAAATTTAGCCAAAGTTCGAAATTACACTTCAAAGAATCTTTATAAGTGAATCAAAAGAAAACCTCGAATGAATGCCTAGCCCTGACATGAAAATCAAAGCTGATACCAAGATTAGACGACCTCCACGATGTTGCAAATTCATGGGCAATTGCTTCAATAAATTCACATGCAATCGCTTGCTAGAAAAGTGGAAATTAATGAAATGTCAAATAAGTCAAACTTCTTGCCATCTTAAATTGAATTTCAATTGACTTTGCAAAAGAAACCAACAAAGCTAATATTTTCCTTAAATATGGGTAATATATTAATTCCTGTTTGCAAAATTCTTTTCCTGCCTCTCCTATAGATAAATGATGGGTGTAAATTCGTGAATAAGCATATCTAATAATGTAAACATCGTAATCGCAAACAATGAATTCCACTTTAACAAAAAGAAGAAACATATTTACAAGTTGCGGATCCTCATTAGTCAACAGGAAATGAACAGTTTGGTCCAACATATCTGCATCGCAAGCTTTACCATCAAAAATAGATCGTTTTAATAACTTTGCACATGCTCTTAGCATTTCGGTTCGAATTAATTTCGAGGCCCTATAAACAGTGAAATTTCATCACGTATTCAAGTAAAATAAATATATCATACGTTTATGTATGTTGATTGGATATTTAAATAATAATTTGAATTGTTGAGTTAGAAACTTAGTATGATAATTTTCGAAAAAATTTTACCTAAATTTATGGACGGCATTTTCTAGAAGATATTTGAAGCATTGCTGAAAAACCTGTGATTCGAATATGGACCACTGTTTGAAAAGATTCATAATCATAAGTTGAACCATCTCAAAGGTAACAAATTCACTGGATGTTGCTTCTGAAAATAATGATAATTCATTTATATGAGAAAAAAAAAAGAGACTGCTTTATATTCAAAAAAATATCATACGCTATAAAAAGATAAGTATGTTCTTGAAATAAAAGTCCAGGCAAATATGATTTCAAAAATAGCAATTATGTTATGACTTGCGATTTAATAGTCAGAAGCCAAAGATGAAATAAGAAAAAACTTAAAAATCCAGAGTTAGCTGATATTAGAAAATATTACCAATAACTAGACGGCAATATTCTGGAGAAAATTTTCCATTACGAATATTAATGAAGAATTCTTCAGCAGCTTTTCGAGCATCATACGCACTATTCGGTGACTAAAATTTTCTAAGCTTCAAACATTTTTTTAAAATATCGCTATTTTTATTAAATCAAAAAGATGATAAAATTTGCTCATTTAGATTTCAAGGAAATTTAAATAAATCTATAACATTGAAAATTTATGAATTAAGACTATTACAATAATAATAATTAAAATACGATTATGAAATTCTAACTTATGATTCATGATCTATGACCCAATGACCGCACATATAATTCAAATTTAGCAAAAGGCCATTTAGGGACTACCTAAAACTAATCATGTAACGTTATTCAACTGATCAACGTGATAAAATATCTCTTTATGAACCGATTGAAAGAATGGACAATTTTCCTTCAAGTTCAGATTAACTCTAAATTGAGAAACAAACCATAAGTATATTTGCCGCTTCTTCCATTTGTATCACATGGTTTGGGTCGAAACCAGGCTGATTACCAGCCGTTTCTTCCATGTCCAATGTTTGTTAATGACAGTAAAAACCCATTAACGATAAAATTAAAGAAAAATTAAACAGCAGTGTTGCTTTAAATTTGTTCCTAATGTTCCTTAAAAAAAGAAAGTAAAGAGCAATTTACTTTAAGTTTCTCTTTGTATTCTAAGTAAAGAGCAATTTAACAAGTGTCCTCAGTGCGTATTTTTAAATTATTCCAGATCTGGAACAGGTATCCTCAATGATTACCTTTAAGTTAGACCTATTATATTTCCAAAGCATATATGTTTCACAGCATGGAACATAGACATAATCTTATGAATTTTACTATATTTCATGAAGCTTATAGTTTTTCTAGTTTTAGAGATACTAATACGATTTCCCAATGACAAGTATAGTAGGAGTTGTCAAATCAATATTGACTGTCAAATCAAATGTCAAATCAACACTCAATTTTCCATGCAAAAATCACATTTTTAACCGCATTCTTTACCATCTTATTCACTGTATTTATCCATCCAGACCCTTTTCAACAATATCAGAATCAGAATCTTTCAGAAACTACCATGGTGTATTTAGCACGAGAAATAACGGCAGCAATTACAAAATCCATGTACTAGCTGGTTAAACCACAGCAAAAGTACCGATAATACATTAAAATAAAATTTTATAGAACAATATCCTATTCAAACACGCACATCCATTAGCATTCTTAATTAACATTATCGAGCTTAGAAATAAATTCTAGGACATATAAATTAACTTCAAACGCATGCAGCTCCAGATATAATTTCAATCAGTTCTCGTGTAATAACCGACTGTCTTGTTCGATTGAACGACATCGTCAGTTTATCAATCATTTCACCTATAATTGCAACTTTATCATATTCCTCGAAATATAAAGTTTAGATATACAAGATATGCAACCTATACAACAACAAAGTTTAAAATAGGACGACAATATTAGACTGGATTAAACAAAACCGTTTCATCGTTTCAGCAATTCTGAATTTTCTACAGCACTAGTGTAGAATTTCGCCCTATTGATTAACTATATACCTTTTCTTTCAATGATACAAAATGATCATGTAAGTTTTATACTAATTTTTTTCAAACATTTTTTAGAGAGACTTTTAGGAATTTTTTTCAAACATTTTTTTAGGATAATTAGAAGTCCACAATTTATTCTAACATACCAGCATTCTTGCTTGCTGAATCCATGGCAGTCATTCGGGAACTCTGTTCAGAAGCAGCAGATTCTTTCAGGGCATAATATAGCAGTTGAGCTAACGAATAATTAGCATAATCGTTTAGCACATTGTCGTCGATTGAGTCATACATGGACATTGTTGGTTGCTTCTGCATAATATATCTTTCATAGAGGAAAAAAAAAAAAAAAAAAAAACCTCTTACACCACAATGAACTCTCTTTACATGTGAATATTTACAGAATCCTTATACATTCACTAACTGTAGGAGAACATCATAAATCATTCTATGTTATATAATGAAAATATTTCCCAGCATGTTACTCACATCCAGAAATTATCTACCATAGTTAAAAATTAAAAGTTATATCAGGGCTCATAATCGAATTCAGTCGCAGAAAAAGAAAACACGGAAAAAATTCAAAAACAAACCACAATAGCATCCAAAGTAAACATTGGTATTATAGATGTTTTATATGAAACAACAGATCTGAACTTATTGTACAATATAAATCCCTGCAACCATGAAAATTTATTAGAAAAATATTGCTACAATGTTGGTTTTGTATGATGATAATTTTGCAATGAATAAAAGTGGAAGATGATGCAAAGGTATCTTGGAAGAAAGCTTTCTCATTTCTGGAGAAATCTGCAATTTTCCTGTAGCATACCATATCTAAAGAAACTAACAAAAATTTGAATTCTAAATCGGCCGATGCATCATTGCAATTGATTAATAATTGGTTTACGCAACATTGAAGATATTATGGAGACAGCTGAGACTCGGTAGAGGGCAGTAATTGATTCAGCACGAAAAAGTTGGAATATTCGAATTACCTTATCAAATTTGTAATTCGATGACAGGATTTTGGCAGCGATAACTGAAGCATCCTCAAAAGTTGGAGGCAGTCGGCCAATTTCATTGCATGAGAACAGAACCTGATTTGCGTGAAGAATTTGCATAGATGCTTTAGCTTTGTCACCAATAAGTACCAATTTGTATTCTGCTTCTGATGCTTTTTCTGTCAGTAGTCGTTTAGCTTCCTGTAAAATAAGCAAAATATCATTGCATCAGGGATTTTTTTCTAGACGAAATTTCATTAAAGTCTTAAAAGGCAAGCATAAATAAGGCATATGACTGATATTTCTCCATAATTGAAAGCTACTGTGAGAAATCCTGAAGTGTTTTTTTTTTTTTTTTTGTGTGTGTGTGTGAAATCTTGAACTTTCAGAATTCTGGAGTTAAAACAGGTAAATCAAAGATAACCAAGTTTATTTACCAAGCTAAAGATATATTCAAATAAAACATAATCTTCAATAGTATTACATTTAAATATCTCCAATTATGAATTAGAATAAAAGCGTAACCTTTGCAACAGCTGTGTGTACAGAGCCGCAAAGTCCTCGATCTGAAGTAATCAACACCAATAAACGTTTTTCTTTTTCTCCCGAAGTTATAGTACCTTCTTGAAGTTTATCCTTTGATTCTGCTGCACCAATATTATTGTAGAATTGTAAGGCACCAACACCGTATACTCGAGCACCCTGGAAAATACACGAAAATGTGTTATTTATCAGTGTTATCCATGAAACAATGAGAAAACATCGGCATGCACAGAAATCCTATAACCATAGCGCATTTTCAGTGGCCCAAGAAAAATAAAAATTACTCTTAGCTCACGTTCTGCCTTGTTATACTTTGCAGCAGATACCATCTTCATACTCTTCGTGATTTTTTGGATATTTCGGACAGATTTCAATCGAATTGAAATATCTTTTAGAGTTGCAAAACCACGGCGTTGTTCGATGGCAGTAATTCCCCAACAAATTGCTGATAATTTCGAACCAAACATTTTACCTAAAAAAATTTAGTAATGGAAACCAAAAATTATCAGTTATTCATTAACGGTACAAAGCTAAAATGTTGCTAACTACCAAAAAGTACTATTAATTAATGTAGAGGTATAACAATTAGCATCATTGTACACAAGGAATGATACCTTTAATAGCATATAAACAATAAAAATTATCAGCAACATCATGATTACTATTATCATTATTTATTATTATTGTTACTGCATTATTATTACTATTATTGTTATTATTACTATTATAACAAATTAACCTCAGTAATAGTAATGAACAAGTAGACTTCTTGTTTTTCATTAATTTTTGAATAAAACTTTGCAAAACCCGAAAAAATTCAATGATTGCCACCAAATACAAAATAGACAACAACAAACAAAACAATCTCTACCTGTAATCAATAGTCTCTGTGGACATTTTCATACCATGTCATATGTACATTTCACTAATTTCAACAATCCCTTCTACTTCTTAAATTTAAGCATTATTATGCAACCACCACTCTCGAACCCGTCATTCCCAACTTTATCAATCTCTAATCCTCCTAAAAACACATCCTGCCTCACCACGCCGTCTGATGACACTAACCACAAAAAAAGAAAAATAAAATAAAATAAACCACTACTGCTAATTTATGTCACGTTGATGCTGGTCTATACAACTCTCTCAAATCTCAAAATTTGTATTTTTTTAACGATGAAAAAAAAAAGAGTTGCAACATTACAAAAACTAATTCATCATTTTTAAGAAGTAAAAAAAAAAAGCAAAAAACAAAAGAAAAAAAAAATCGATTATTCTTTTTAGTTTTTAGAAAAAATTTTCTTTTCTTCATTCAGTCAATTCATGGGAACAGATGAAATATTTTAAATAATTAAAATTATAAAATTTTCCTAAAAAAATCAACTGTAAACAAATTTAAAGCAGTTAAGCACAAAAGAATTTGAAATAATTAAATACGGAAGAATTTAGAATAATTAAAATATCAGAGAATATCAAACAATCAAATATAAATGATTTTTGTAATATATGAAATTGATAAGAGCAATTACAATTACAATAAAAGCAATTACAAATTACGATATTTGATTTGCAATTCTTAGAATTGTTTGAAAAGATAAAAAGGTAAAAGAAAAAAGGAGAATTAATTATGTAAATGTTAATCATAAATTAAATATCATACCAAATTTATATTGTAAACAACAGATAATGTGATGCGATATAAACTTTAAATAAATTTAACAATGTTTGTTAATTTTTTTTTTAATTATGAAGTAAAAAGTGCCATTTTTTTATTATGAAATGAATAAATATTTTTTTTTTTTTTTTTTTGTTTACTAATAATTTCATAAATAAACTATTATATATTAGCATAAAAAATTATGTGAAATACTAAAGTATCATTTTAAGTATTATTATTTCTTTTTATTTCGATAAGTATTATTTTATATTTCATATTAAGCAATATTTGTACAAATAGATCATTCATATAATACAATGTTTCCTCTTTTTTTTTATTTATTGTTAAATTAATCTTTTCATAGCATTGATAAATCTTTCATATTAAATGATTAAAACAAAAAAAGAAAAAATTATAAAGAAATAATTGTCAGTGATTTTAATTATATGATTATAAAATGATTATAAAATGCTCAATAACTATAAAATAGTAATTTAGCATTATATTACAATTATAATTATACAATTTATAATTTATATGATGACTATAACTATAGTTTGAGAATTTCAACGAGAAATGATGCATTAGTTTTTTTCTGTAAGATCTGAGTGGATCATTTTAATTTATCGTATTTTTACAGAATAGTTAATCAATCGTTATCTTTAGAAATATTATTTCATTTTATTTTTTTATAAACTAACATATTAAAAGCTTAAATTTAATTTGCAGAGCAGATTTTTGATTTTGTTTTTGGCTGGAAAACTTTCAAATTTAAATAAATCTAATTTAGATGGATTTAAATATTACAAACAATCCACTAACCGAGTTTAATGAATTATTTGTATGGCTTATTTTAATATTAATGACATTCGTGTAATTTTAAATTTCTCTTCTTTAAATGTTTCCATTCTTTAAAATAATCTAATTTCAAAAGTATTTCTAATTCAAAATTATGCTATCAAATTTTTATTTGCAATGATTTGTCAGAATGCTTTTTCATTCAATTCATCTCACAATTTATCAAAATGACGGAAGGAAACTGATCGTACACTTAGCAAAATATAATTCCCAGGTGACATTAACTCTTCATTATGTGTTAATTGGCTAAACAATGTTATTTGCCTGTGTACTATTATTTCAATAAATCATCGTCCAGAAATACCCCTCGAGAATTTAGGTTAGTTTACATAGAAATATTTATTAGTGCTTCAAAAGCTGATTTATTAAAGGAGTACCAAAAACTATTTTTGTTAATTAATGCAGCAAAGTTCTTCGTTTTTCCTTACGTACGTCATTTACGTGGCATTTCACTACTTTAATTTTATATGTTTGTTTTTATAAATTGCAATTATCTAAGCAACGTCAACTTGTTTGCTCAACTGATCGTCTAAACCAACTGGGAATCTTTTTTTGCTCGTTTAAAATTGCTCATTTTCATTTTTTTTTTTCAATTGTTATTTGTAAAATGCTCAATTTTTATTGTTAACTTCCATTCATCTAACATCATTCATTAAATATAATTTCAAAAAAAGAGAAGAAAAACAGGAAAAATAAATAAATAATCATATAAACATTTTTTCACTCAGAATGAATGACCGAAATTCTGAAAAAAAATAGGAAATAATAGAATATAATATTAGAATAACAAAAAATTAAAATTGTCAATTAATTAAAAGCTTTTCATTTCATTTTCTTTCATTCTTATCTCATTCAAATCGTTTATATTTCTTGTAGATATATGATATCTATCTATCTATCTATCTATCTATCTATCTATCTATCTATCTATCTATCTATCTATCTATCTATCTATCTATCTATCTATCTATCTATCTATCTATCTATCTAATCTATTCACCTACCACCACTGATCATTATTCATTTGGAATCAAATTTCTCAAATTGCTTGAATGTTTTTTTTTTTTTTTTCAAAACAAATTGATTCAATTTCATCTTCCATATTTGATTGGCAGTAAGGGCATTTTATTTCATTCCTCATTTTCTATTTCTTCTCTTATCATACAATTCATCGTAAAATGTTAGTTATACAATTTGTTAAAAAAAAAAGAAAAGAAACTTGAAATAAATTTAACAATTGATCTGTCTTTTATTGTTTCTCTTAATTTTGAGACACAAATAAAACTTTAAAAAAATTAAAGAAATAGAAATATGTAAATTAGAGAAAAAAAATGTGAGGGAAAAAAGCAAAGAATACGCGAGAGTAAAGAAAGAAAATGTGAATGAAGGAAGCTAAAATATTAAAATAATTTAAGAAAACAAAAATTTATATAAAAATATGAAAAAATTTTCTCATTCTCTCTCTCCCTCTCTCTCTCTCTCTCTTTCTCCCCTGTTTTCCTCCTTCTATTTTTTTCACATTTTATTAAAATCAGCTTTCTTCCATCAACTTTGATTATTGTATTTTCCAGATAAATTTTTTTTTCGGGAAAAAAATTATGTAACTACCATTTTTTTTTTTTAAATTTTAATTTTATTTCAAATTTTTGTTTTTTTTATGAAGTATTATTATTTTTTTTTAGATGCTTCGATGAATCAATTATGATTTGATTAATTGAATATTTTCAGATCAAACATGATGAATTGCTTAACTCAAAATCCTCAATTGAACTGATCCATCAAGAATAATGCTTGATTTATTGCATCATATGCATTAATAATGAGATTTAAACTGTTTTTAACTTATGTAAAGCAAATCTGTCATTTCACCTTATTAAATTGTAATGATAGTATGATTAGTAATTAATACTAATAATGTTGTATTTGAATTAATTTTTATTTATTTATTTTTTTCATTATAAATGATCATAATAATATTTTAATTGTTGTGAATTTTTTTTTTGCTAATAATTATTAGATAAAAACAATTAAGCGTCGCAGTGATAAAAATGATATTTTTAAACTTATCACTACTGTATATTATCATCATTGTATATTTTTGCCTTTTGCTTCCTTTGTTTTTGACTTAATTAACTAAAATTTGTATTATTTTCTTCTCTTTTCTTTTTCTTCTTTTTTTTTTGTAACATTGATAATTTGCAAAAAAAAAAAATAATTTTTTTTTTTATTTGTGATAAATTGTATCGTTGTGCTAAACAAAAATACTGATAATAATAATAAAAACAATAATAATAGTAATAACAATGATAATAACAATAATAATAATAATGATAATAATAATAGTAGTAATAATGATAATGATAATAAACGTTTATTATATTTTACATCACTAAAAGTATAGAGAAAAAGAAGAAATGAATGGAATAGCTTATTTCATCAAATTTCAAATCTTCAAAAATGTAATTTCAACCCTTTCCCTTCATATCAAATAAAGCTCAAATATATATATATATAAATATTTGGATGGCATTCATTTGTTGAGGTTAAATGATTCATGCAAATTCTTCTTATCTTTTTTCTTTTTCCCTTCTTTTTTCTCCCTCTCTCCCTCTCTCTCTCTTTGTCTCTTTTTCTACTTTCCTTTTCTCTTTCTTTTTTTTAAATTTTCTCAACTCTTTTTTACTCTTGTTCTTCCTTTCTCTCCCTTTCTCTCTCTCTCGCAATATTTTCACTTTTATTTTGTCATATTTAAAAAAAAAAAAAAAAAATTAAAATAAAAAAGATTTAAACAACAAAAAGGATGTCAAATGATGATGACAATGATATTATAATATTGTTTTTATTTTTTTTTTTCTATTTTTTGTTTATGTTTATAATATTATTATCATTATTATATGTTTCTTTTTTTTTTTTGAAATAAAATAAAAATGAAAATTAAAATGTTAAACAATGATAAAAAACAAAACAAACAAACAAAAAGAAAAATTAAAAATTAATTCTTTTATATATTTATTATCCTTTTAAGAATGTATTAAATATAATTCACTAATGAAATATTTTCATTTTAACCATCTTTTTTTGTCTTTTTTTTTCGAACATACATTCATAGACAATTAATCAATTTACAAAACTCATTACGAATTCAATTCATTCTAATTAACAATCATACAATGATTGAATTAAATGACACTAAAATTTTACCATAAAATTTTGACACTGCTATTAGCAAATCCAAATAAATAAAAAAGAAAGAAATGAAATTTAAATTAACATTTCAATTCATTCTTATCGTTTTTCTTTTCTTCCTTTTCTTTCTTTTCTTTTTTTCTCTTTTTTTTTTTTTGTTTGTTTGTTTGTTTGTTTATTTTCGCTATTCACTAAATAATTTCTATTTATGAAAAATAAAAAAACAAAAACAAAAAGCCTTAATCATATTTATTATTCCTTCCACATTTTTATCATAGTTTTTTTCTCGTCTCGTTTATTCTTGCCTTCATTTTCATTAAAATTGATAAATTTTACTAAAAGAGGAGCAAAAAAAAAAAAAAAAAAAACTGAAAAGAAAAATTGTAAAGAAAAAAAAAAGTGACATAAAGGAATAAAACAAAAAAAAAAAAAACAATTACAAATTTCGTTTTTTTTTTTTTCTTTTTAATTTGCATATATTTTGGAAATAAATTAAATGAAATAAGAGAATATCGAGAAGGATTAGATTGATATTAATTAATTAATCATTTAAAAGAGCTGTCAAATTCTACAAATACTAATTCTTATTGTTATCGTTAAATTAAACAGACACACACACACACACACACACACACACACACACACACATACACATACACACACAGACACAGACACATGCATATGTTCAAATGCATTTTTATATAATTTTATTTTTGATGGATGAAATTGAAATGAAATGAAATTAATTCATGATTAAATTAATGTTAATTCAATGAATTTATTATGGCTTTGTGCTTTCTTAAGCTATGTAAATGATCAATTGTCTCTCTCTCTCTCTCTTTCTCTCTTTCTCTTTCCCTTTCTTTTCCTTCTTTTTTTGTTATTTTTATTTTTCAATTCTTAGCTTGCATCCCGCATTCACCAATTATCGACAGGTTCATTCATTAATTAAGTCAATCAAAAATGATTTGAATGAAAGAGAGAGAGAGGGAAAGAGAAAGGGAGAGAGAGAGAGAGAAAGAATATTATTTGCATATCATTAAATGATCTGTCATAAATCTTAGTCTAAAGAAAGATTAATCCCTTCTGTTATTTGAGCATTAATCGATGGAATAATTTTTGTATGATTAAATTTTAATCGTTTTTAATCAATCACAAAAACACTTATATTCATTCTCTTCCCTCTCTCTCTTTCTCTCTCTCTCTCTCTTTCTCTATCTCTTTCTTTCGTGCTTTTTTTTTATCTATTTTTAAATTAATTATAATGTTTAAAATCTCGAAATTTTTTTTGAAAGAAAAAAAAGTTTTAAATTTTTGAAAAAATTTATTATTGTTATTAGTATTAATTATTGTAATCATTATTATTGTCATTTTTTCATTATTTTTTTATTTCCTTTCCTTCTTGCATAATATTTTATTTTATCAATGATAATTTTATCAAATGATATCTTATCAGTGATAAGATATAAGAACAAAAAAAAAAAAAAACTGAAACTTTATCTCTCATTCTTATTATCTTTAATAAATAATCAATTTTTTTTTCATTTCCTTTTCCTACTGTATGAATAGAACATATAATGGAATTTTCCTCACTTTTTTTTTTTTTGCTTTATTTTCAAATTTAAATTAAAACCTGTCATGCCTCTCTTTTCCTCTCTCCCTCTCTCTCTCTCTTCATAAATTATGTATTATATCGTTCAAAAAAAAAATATATATATATAAAAGAAAATTAAAAAAAAAAGACAAGAAAAAAGGAAATTAATTCTTATTATATCTCTATTTGTTTGCTATTTTAGAATAATTTATCAAAATTTACATTATGTATTATAAAAATTTTAAATTAAAATGAAAAAAAAAAAACTTTTTTTATTATTTTATTTCTTTAATTTTAGATTTAAATGAACAAAAAAAAAAAAAAAAAAAAGAATGGAAATTCTGATAAAATACTGTTTTTTTTTTCTTTTGCTTAACTTTTTTAAATAAAAAAGAAAACAATCTATTTGTCATAAATAAATATTTGTATGCATGAATTAGCATTTTAACCTCTTTCTCTTCCATTTTCCTTCTCCCTTACTTTCATTTTTATTCTCTTCCTCTTCTATTTTCCCTCTCCCTCACTTTCATTTTTATTCTCTGCCTCTTTCATTTTTCTTACCTCTTCTCTTTATCATTTCTCAAATCTCTCTTATTTCTTTATCATTTTCCCTCAAAATCCCTCCTATTTCTAATATTATTCCTTAATATTTTCTCCCTCACTTTTATTTTCATTCTCTGCTTCTTCCATTTTCCTTACCTCTCCCTTTTATCATTTTTTCTTAAAATCCCTCCGATTCCTAATATTATTCCCTAATATTTTTCCTTTCTTTCTTTCTCAATTTTTCTTTTTTTTTTAAATTCCATTTTATTGTCAATTTTTTTTAATTTCACATTCATTTATATATTCGTTAACTAACAGTTTTCCTTCTTCTTTTTTTGTTTAATTTCAATTATTTTTCTACAGTAAATACCAATTAATTTACAAAAAAAAAAATTTCAAAATTATTGAATTTAATTTTATGTTATTTTCAAAATTTTATTTATATAACATCTTTAAATTAATTTCATATTCCAGAAGAAAAAATTTTCACGATTATATATATATTGTTGGATTAGAATTTTAAAATTATCATTTAAAATTAGCGTTTAGTTGAATTTCTACATTTGAAATTAAATTAAAATTTCTTTTTTTTTATTTTAAGATTTTACTTCCAAATAATCTTTGATTATAAATTGCTAGAAAATTTGACTATTATTAAGTTTAGGAACTTTTGATTACTAAATTCTTCTTCAACTATTAAAACATTTGTTGAGAAAGTATTTTTTCTTTTTCTTTTTTTGGTTTCAAATTTTAATTTATTAATTTTTTTATTAAAATGTATAATATAATTATGCTTATTATATTAAACGTATAAATTTTTACACTAACTAATCGTTATTTTATTCAATATAATAATATTATTGTCATTAAATTTCAATAAAAATTTTTATTTCATTTCATATCCTTTTAACTAATTATTTTGTTTGTTATAATATTATTACTATTATTTGTTAACTCTGTAAATTTTAATAAAGCTTTTGTTGCCGCTGTTTTTAATTTTTAATAATTTCTAATTTAATTTTTTTTAATTTAATTTAATTTTCTTTTTTCTATTCATTTTAATTCCTTTTATGATTATTCAATCCGTTTTTTTTTTTCTTTTTACTTACTTCTTCCGGTAGAAAGAAATAGAAAAAAGCTTAATCAATTTGTTTGGTTGGGATTGGTGTTGCAGTACAAACACCGCCTCCAATTTCATTGGTTGCTTTTTGCTGATTGGATAAATTTCACTCCTTTCTCTCTTTTAGCTTAAAATGTTAAAGCTAACTTTTAAAGTTAACAAATCTTTTTAGCTCATTCATTCATTGCAAAAAGATTTTTTAGTTTTAAGTTTTATGATTAAAAGCTAAGAGCTAAGCTATGCTATTCGATTATTGCTTATAAATATATTTATATGTGATTTAAATTAATAAAATAAAGAATTTATTAATTTTTTTTTTACAAACTATTTCATTTATAATTGCATTAATTTTTAATTTAAAACTTTCAATTCTCTCTCTCTCTCTCGCTCTGTCTTTTTTTTAATTTGTTTTATTGAACAAATAATTTAATTTGATATGTTTTAATATATAATAATTTTGAATTTTTAGATCAATATATAATAAATTTTAGATTTATTAGATCAAATATAATTGACAATATTTGAACAAATAATTAACATTTTGTTAACAAATGTTTAGATTTTATTTTTAGATTTTTCAAAAAGTTACAATTTTGAAGTTAAGTAAATTTCTTATTTCTTAACAAACTTATTAATTATGCTAAAAAATTTTCATGTTGCTATTTAGTTGTATGAAAATTTTCCACTTTGTATTTATTTTTTTTTTTTTTTTTTTTTTTGTGAACAAAATTTTTTGATTTAAATCATAATTTGAATCTTTTATACAAAATCTAATTAAAATTAAACTATGTTTATGAAAACTTTTTTTTTTTTAAGTACTAAAATTTATTTTTCAATTTTTATCTTTTCTGATAATAATGCAATGCAATTCGTTTTAATTCGAAAAATTTACTTTTTTTTTCGATTTACATACACTCTTTTATCTTTTTCCTTTTGACGTAAAATTGAGAAGTTTGATTTATTTGAGTTTATTCAGTCGGTTCTATCTTTCCAGAATATTTAATAAAAATTGCTTTTTTTTTTAAAAAAATACTTAACAAAAAAAAAAGTTTTTTTTTTTTGCCTAAATCAATTTTTAAACAAAAATTTTTTAACTCTTCAAAACTATTTGCAATTCTTATTACTAATTATCACTCTTAACATTCAAGTATTACTACAGTACTACTCAATTGATTATCACAACGGTTATCAGATGATAACTACCGAAATAACATTTTTGATAATTATAATGTATTAAATATATTTAATTATATTTTAATTTCTCAAAAAAGATTGTAAAATTTTCTAATTAAAAAGAAAAAAAATTCATCGTTGAAAGATTTAAAAGAAAAAAAGGCAAAAATAAAAATGAAATTATAATTTAAGAAAATTTTCCAATGTTTACAACCATTGGTATGCAACAATTTTGGAAGGAATGTTGGAAAATGCAACAACAACTTGTTAAAGGAAGTATGTATAATTAGTCATTTCTTTCTTTTTTTTTTTTTTTTTTGGTAAATTTTTTATTTAAATTTATAATTATATTTGTTATTAATTAAATTTAAAAGAAAAATTAATTTAAAGTTAATAAAATATCAATAAAAAGCAATTGCATTGTTTTAAGTAATAAAAATATGACTTATTCTTTTTTTATAATTACTAAAATATTTTTGCTAAAATTCATCGTTATGCTAATTGATTAACAATGAAAGAAAATATAACTAAAAAAGAAAAAAAAAACAGTTAATTTCCTTTTTTTTTCAGTAATAGAAATGTAACTTATAATTTATATATTTTTGTACATTTATTTGCATTTTAAATTTTTATATTTGTTAAAATATTTATGCTAATTTATGATAATATCATTTAAAATATAATATACATTTAATATAATAATATATAAATTAATTTATATTCAAATAATAAATTTTCTTTTTGAATTTTAGTAGATTTATCAACAGCTCAACAGCCAACATCATCAAATGAATCAGAAATAGCATCATCACGATCAACAACACCTGATACGACAACAATAATAAATCGTTCAGTAATGGATCAAGATGCTAATGAGACATCATCACAGCATTCACAACAATTACATCTTAGCGCTTTACTGGAAGGCGCTGATTGTAAAGATTCTAGAAGAGGTGATATGATTAAATAATATCAATTCAACTTTTATAGAAATTAAAATAGTATTATCACCAACTGATTAAATGATATCAATATAACTCTGGTAATTAAATGATATCAATATAACTTTGGTAGAAATTAAAATAGTATTACTGCTAATTGATTAAATGATAATTTTTGCAAAAATTAAAATACTGTCACTACTAATTGATTAAATGATATCAATATAACTTTGGTAGAAATTATTACTATTAATTAACAATTTTTTTAGAAAGAAAAAAAAACGGATCTAGTTAATGATGTGTTATGTTCATAAATATGTTTCTCATGATATCGATTAATGATAAAAACTGAAGAAAAAAAAATAGATCCGGTAGATAGTGTAATATATCAGATATATATATATATATTTTTTTTAATGATATATTTAGAAAATTGTTAAGAATTGATGAAAAAAGTCATTTGGTTGATAATATGTCATAGATATCTCTTTAATGATATATCTATATAAATAGATATTGAAAGTTCTTAAAAGACGAATCCGGTTGATAAAATATGAATTGTTAAAAAAAAATGAACGGGTCCAGTTCATTTATAATATATAAATAAATCATTGTAAACTTGAAACATTTTTTAAAACATTCGAAATTTTTGAAAATATATGATAACCACAAATAGCTTTATTATCAGTAAAAATTATAATTAGAAGAGCTAAATTGTACTAGGATTTTTATTGAAATTAATTAATTAATTAATTAAATTAATTATCTTAGGTAATGATAAATTAGAATGTAAAAGACGACGTACAAGGACAAATTTTACGGGTTGGCAATTGGAAGAATTGGAAAATGCATTTGAAGCTAGCCATTATCCGGATGTATTTATGCGTGAAGCACTAGCGTTACGTTTAGATCTTCTTGAATCACGTGTTCAGGTAAGTTAGCTATACAAAAATTACTAATTTAAAAAATTATTTTTAAAATATTGACTTTTTTTCTTTTTACTTGCTTGTGGAAAAAATTTTTTAATGTTTTAACTTTAATTGTCAATATGACATATAATTTCAAAATATTGCATTAAAAAATTTATAATTTAATAATATTTTTTGTATTTAATTAAATTTAGAAAATTGTTGCATCCATAAATTTGTCTCTCTAAAAATTTCTATTTTTTCTTTTTTTTTTTTCTTATTACGAAGGAATATTTTTTGATACGTAAAAAGTAGAAGAAAATTACAGAGAGAGGGAGAGAGAGAGAGAGAGAGAAGAGAAAGGAAAAAAAAGTGAAAGAAAAAAGAGAAGAAGAAGAGATTGAATTTGTTTATTTTTCAAATAAATAATATTTAAATTGAAAAATGAAATTTTCGATTATTTTAAAAAAATGATGAAAAAAAAAATAATAGTTTTATTTTTATAAATATAACCTAACTTCTTTTACTTTGTTGATTTCCTAATGTTGTAAATTGTTATTCATAAAATTTGCAATATTTTTTATTTCATAATTTTATGCAATATTAAGTCAATATAAACAAGCTTCTAGCATAAATTAAACTTAGATATGATCAGCTATTAATTACAAATGCTATTAATTCATCTTCCATAATCAGAAATAAAAATGAACAGATAATTAAACTAATTCCCTTGATAATAAAAGTCTAAAAAAAAATGGCATCAAAATTTATAGTAAAAAGTTTTTAAATTGTTGAATTAAGACGAAATGAAGAAAACCATTTGAAAATACACTCGATAAATTGCTGCAAATTATTTGTTTATTTTGTTAGCACTTAATTGGAATAATTATGATTAATTATAATTATCATAAATTATTGCCACTGGCATATTCGAAATGTTATACAAATCATTATACAAATCAAATTTTAAAACTTATCATAATATAAATCATAATTGTTATTGTTATCAATTGCATTCATTATAATCATCGATCATATTTACTAAAATAAATATTTTTCATTTTTCCTAAACTTTATCAAACTATCATAATTTTTTAGTAAATTCAAGATTAATGTTATAGTGATTATTATTACTGTTGTTTGTTTTCATATCATTATTATTATTATTAATACTGTTATTATTATTATTATTATTATTATTATTATTATTATTATTGCTTCTGTTGTAATGATTGAAAATGAATAATTTCAATGTAATTTATATACAATTTTTTGCTATTTAAAAAAAGAAAAAAAACTTTTTTTTTTTTTATCTCATTTATCTTTCTCAATCTTAATTCATTTTCCATACAACTATAATTCATTCAATCTACCGTAATCCTCTGACATTGTCAGCGAAAAACTTTTCTATTGCCCGTAAATTACGGTAATTGACAAATCATCACTTCATCATTTCATTTTCTCTTATTTAATTTAATTTAATTTCGATATTGTTCCTTTTTTTTTTTTTTAAATCATAAAAAAAACACACAAATAATAAAATGGGAAAAAAAAATGATAAAATCAAAACATACCAATCAATTTTATTTACTAATTATTATATGGTCAATTTATTCTTTTTCATTCCTTTTTTTTTATTTTCCTCTTTTGCTTCTTCCATAAATTTCGTTTTCTAAAATTATCAAATATAGTAGTAAAAAAAGCTAAGGAAAAAAAAAAAAAAAAAGAAAAAAAATGATTGTTGCGAAGATAAGAAAAAGCTATGTTAGTGGAATTAGATTAGAAAGAGTAAATAAATGAAAAGATAACATTGTAAAACGAAGAAAGAGAAAAAAAAAAATTTTAAATAAAAAAAATCATTACTTTAACAATTGATTTATAAAAGAGAGAGAGAGAGAGAGAAGTAAGAGGGAAGGGGAAGAGAGGTAGAGAGAAGTAAGAGGGAAGGGGAAGAGAGGGAGAGAGAAGTAAGAGGGAAGGGGAAGAGAGAGAGAGAGAGAAGAGAAAAAAAAAAACATTGAATGCTTTAATGTGAATAACCCATTAAATTTCAAAAAAAAAAGAAAAATGTAACTAATTTGATTACATCTTCATTTTTTGTTATATTTAACTAAGCCAATAAAGCAATTTAAGCTTTATTTTATTGCTTTTTCTTTGTTTCTTCCTTTTTCTCTTTTTCTACTACCCTTTCTCTCTCTCTCTCTTTCTTTCTCTGCCTCTCTCTCTCTTCCTCTTTTACTTCTCTTTTTTATTTTCTATCATTAATGTTAATTTCATGCAAAAATGATATATGTAATTTTCACAATTATTTTCACTATCTAATATTTAATTTTTATTTTCTTTTTCATTTTTCATTTTAAAATTTTATAGTACAATTTTATAATGACATTTAAATTTACTTATTATTATTATTTTTTTCCTTTTATGGTAATAGTGTGCATAAAATAAGAAAAATACTAAAAAAATATATTTTACGTATAAATTGTCTAAGATAATTTTTCACGTAATAGTGAAATATTAAAAGAAAAATGTATACTTTTTAGTGTGGACATTTTTTTTTTATTTTTTGAAATTACCTGATAACATCTGATATGGCAAAAAATTAGTGATAAAGAATATAAAATTCACTCTAAGATTTGACTTCAAAATCTTCCAAAAAAAAAAAATTTAAGGTTTGGTTTCAAAATCGACGTGCTAAATGGCGTAAGAAAGAGCAATTAAGAAAAGGTGCCCAACGTGCATCAAATTTAATACGTGATACTGACGGAAACATAAAATCTGGTACCACTAGTGAAACTAAAGAAAATGAAGTATGTTAAAAAAATATACATTTAGTTTTAATTCTTCTCTTTTCGTTCTCTTTTCATTGGTCTTTTATTTTTGTGCTATTTTTTTTTTTTTTCAAATTAATAAAAAATTTTTTAATTCCAGGCAAAAAATAACGAAAATATTACATTGCCAAAAAATACATTTTCTATTGATAGTTTACTAGCTGCTTCAAGGGTACCACGTGGTAGACGACCAAATGCAAAATATCCTCGTGTACAAGTAAATAAATTTATTCTAAAGTTAAAACGAAGAAACGAAAACATTATTCATATTTATTCAAATTAAAAAAAAGGAATTATGCCAAATTAATTATTAAATTTAATGATTATATCATATGAAATTATTTGCTTGAAACTTAAGAAAAAAAAATTAAATATAATTTTTTGTTTTGTTTTTTTTTAGGCCTGTAAAAGTATGTCACCATTTATGCTTCCATTATTTCCAATTACGCAACCAGCTGGTATAACAATACGTGAAACTACGCCACCTTCATTACCGCCATCACCACAACAATCATTATCATTATCATCTGATGATATAATCGAGAAGCAAACATACCCTCATCAATAATTAATTTGTGATTTCATTTTAAATTTTTTTAATTTTTGTTTTAATTTTATAGATTATAGAATATTTGACATTTCCCATTTTTTTCGTTTTTTTCGTTTTTTCTTTTTTTTTTGATCATTTATTTTTGTTTCATTATATATTATATTAATAATTTATAGTTACATTTCTTTATATTTTAAATTAATAGCATTGATTTTCATTAAGCATATCATTAAGAGATAATCAACAAATATTTCAACTATTCTAATTATTCATTAATAATATATAATTTTTAGGTATTTTAAATTTGAAATTAAAATTAGAAAAAAAAATAATGTAGGGAAAAATTTATAAATGAGTGGAGTGAAAAATTATTGAATGGTGTACAATAGATGAAAGAAATTTTTTTTTTACAAATAATGAATTACTAGGATTCAAATACCTGATATATATATATATTAAGGTCATAAGGTCATCAATTGGGTACTGTATCTTTGCTACCATATGTAGTACTACTATTATATACTATTCACTTTCTTACTGTATGTTTGGAAGTGAATGTTTTTCCTTTTTTTTTTTCATGTGAATAAAACTTATGAAATTTATCATTCGTTTAAAAAAAAAATAAATTTTCTCATATGAAAATATCCACATATATGAATTAAAATAAATTTCTCTTTTTTTTGCTAATAATGATTACTGTATCTAATCATTTATTAATCATTGATTTTAGACTTAAAAAACACTCCTCTCCGCCCCTTCCACCTATATTATTATTATTATTATTATTATCATTATTATCATCATTATCATTATTATTGCTATTATCATTAAATATTATTATTATTGTTATTAATTACTAAATTATCAAAATAACGGATGGAGTAAAGCGCTTATCATAAGATTATCTATCCACCGGATAGATTTCTACCATAGATTTTTAAACAAAACATACCTTCATTGGAAAATAATCTGGAAATTTAAAATTTATTCATGATAAATTCATTAATTATTTTAACGCTGAGCATTTGACTAATATTAGTATTCTAAATTACCATTATTTGTAGATAAACATCTACTAATTAACAATTATTTGTAGATAAACATCTACTAATTAACAACTTAATATTTAGTCAGTCTTATTGATTTGCTGACCAATAGAAAATAGGTAACCTTATACTGATGAAAAATTTCACTTTCAGTTCCAGTATCGATTTATACGATAAGTTAAAGTAGATTTTCCAGATATTAAAATACAATTTTTCAAATTTCCTTTCAAATATTTTTTTAATGAAAGTTGTTTTTTTTTTTGGCTATGTGTTTAAATTATTCAAAAATTTAAAATGATTGCAGCAAATAATGCAGAGGGACAAAGTTATTTGTTTTTCTTTTAAAAGCACATATATTAGCAGCTACAATTTTAATTATTCAATTCCCAAATCAAAAAGTTTTACACTTTATAAATTCAGTCTACTTTTTTCGTTTTTTTCTTTTCTTTCTCCTTTTTTTTTGTTTCATTTTCATTCCATTTTCTCTTATCTTTCGCTTTTTTTTTCCTTAAATTTTTTCATTACATATTCTTTTTTTTTCTCTTTTTCAATTCATTCCTTTTTTCACACTCATTATAATTCCTTTTAAAATTTCTAAAACTTTTCTTTTACTCTCTCTCTCTCTCTCCCTTTCTTTCATTTCCTATTTTTTTAAAGCAATTCTTTTCCTGCATATCTTTTAAAACACAAATCTATCCTGTTTTTTTTTTTTATCAATTTCTAAATTTTATTCAATTCTTCTCTTCATAAACTTACTCCCTAAACTATACTTATCCATCGGTTGCAAACTCAATCTTCACCGAAGGCATTCACAAGCCTTTTAAAGGCTTTTCTTTTATCCATTCTTATTATGAAATAATCAACTTCTTCTCTATCCCACGGGAAATGTTGTTTAACTTTGGCTAAACATAAAGGATGTATTATTGTTTCCACATATTATAATTGATAGATTCCTCTTCGTTTCTCCCTTTGGACGAAGAAACCGTTTAAAACGATCAAAACTATTATTGTTCATCTAGGATGATTTATCTACATATCAAATCCCGTAGGAGCATTAGGCCTATTCGTTTCATCCTGAAAATTTGCTTCCATAAATTATCGTATTTTTGAGAAATTTTCCAATGCAATTTTCTAATTATTATAACTCTATTATTGGCATTTCTCATTAACATTATAATTATGCGATAATATTTATTACTCGATATATATATGTACATATAGTTATAAGATAGTGATAATATTAATATGATAACATTGCTATCATTATTAATTTTTATAATTATGACATTACTGAAGTTAAAAAAAAAAAAAAGAAAAAAAAAACTACTGATATATTTAATTTTATCATCTTGTGTAACTTTTCAATAACGAAATAGTCCTGCATGGATAAAATGATTCTCATATCTGCTCCTGTATTTTTATCAGTAAATGAATTAAAATTAATCATTTCTTCCTGAAATTAAAAATAATTTAATTGATCCATAGAAACTTATCATTTGGCTAAAATAATTTAATTAATCCATAGAAAATTATCATTTGGATTTAATTTAATAATCATAATTCGTAGATTGTTAATCAATTTCAAAAACATTTAAAATGTACTAAATTTTTGTAAAACAATTATATTAGAAATGAAAATGAAACGGATTAGTGTGTAATTATTTTGACATGCTAATATATGAGTAATAATGAAATAAGAGAGTATTTTACTACTTGAATACTTAAATAAATACTCAATCATTACTAAGCATACAAAAAAGGGAGAAAAAAAATGATTTCTTTTTTTCTTTTTGATATATACATATAAATTAAATGAAGCATAAAATTAGTATAAGTTATTACAGTAATCTATAAAGTACTGCAATTACGATATTATATTTGTTTAATTATAACTTATCTATATTGCAATCTATTATTGTCAATCTTCACATCAAAATATGCAACATGATAAATGAATACAATTTTCATAGCATTTATTAGGTTATCAAAGTATCATATATCATCAATTCTTCTTATTTTCATTTCAGCATTAACAAAATTATGTTATTCCATTCATTGCTTACTGTAATTTGATATCATCTTAATCTTAACATCTAACTCTTATCATATTAAATTCAATTATGAAATTGATACTAACTTTTTTTAACTAAATCATAAAAAAAATACTAATTTTTTTAAACTAAATTATGAAAATCAAGTTAACATTTTAATTGAATTATGAAAATGATAGTGCTTTTTCAATTATTTTTATCCTACTATCTTATCTATATTGTTGTAACATTTGTAAATCTCAATCATTCATTACTTTTCTTCTATTTCATTTTTCCTCCTTTTCCTATTTCTTTCTCATTCCTTTTTCACAATCATTTATAATAGAAAAAGACAAATTTCGAAAATTCTCTATTCATTATTAAAATATCACAGCAAATAATCCAATAAAATTAATATATCAAATCATTTGCAGCGAATTAATTTATTCATATTTCAAAAGTATTCCTAATGAAATTTCATGCTAAAGGTTTGATAAAGTTAAAAATTTACTTCCCACATGCTATTGTGTGTGTGTATGTGTGTGTGTGTGTGTGTGTGTGTGTGTATGTGTGTGTGTGTGTGTGTGTGTGTGTGTGTGTATGTGTGTGTGTGTGTGTACTACTTTATATCTATTACATTCCCAAATGAATGATTGAAGAAGTATTTAGAGTGAAATGCATATAGTCGATTAATGTGAAAGATTTATCATTTGTATATATGGCTGTCACTTTATTGAAAGAATGAAGAGTTCCTCAAAAACTATCTGATTGCATAATTTCTTCTAAATTGCCATCTTTTTTCTGCTCTCTTATCCTAAAGCTAATCATACATTTGTCGAATTTCTCACTGCAAACAATAATGACAATTGCAACAGAGATAACGACAAGAATGACAGTGTTATTCCATAATTATAACATTGATAACGATGATGACGACGATGGTGGTAATAATAATGATGATAACAATGATGATGATGATGATGGTGGTGGTGATAGTGATGATAATAAAAATGGCAATGGTGTTGATAATGGAAATGTTAATGGTGATGATAATGATGACAATATTAACAAGAATAGGAACGATAATGGTAATGTTATTATTAAATATTATTATTATTAATATAATATAATAATAATCAGTAATAATAATAGTAATAATTAGAGTAATGGTAATTGTCAGGTGATGAAAAAAAAGTGATGTACTAGGAAAAGATTTTTAATTCAAAATAACATAAATAATTGCAATGATAGCAGAACTAGTTTGATAAATTGAAGTTTATTTATATATAATAACTTAATACTTAACAAAACTCACATATTTATATATAAAATTAGGTGATCGACATTACAAATGAGCATAAGATTACTTTTTATTTTCAACATAACTATTATGCATTTTTTATTTATATTCGTTGTGTATTTTGGAACATTTAACTTTAGTAATTAGATTAATAATTGAATAAATGTTGCAAAAAATAAATAAGTTGAGTGAGTGTTAGCTATATTTAGCTATGTTTTTTTCTTTTTTTCTTATAAAATATTAAAAAGGAAAAAAAACCTATGTAATGAAACTAAATGTGAAATAATATTAAGCAAGAAAGACGGGATGTACGAGTTTCATTGGCATTAAATCTAGCGGAATGTCAGAGTGATCCATCGAAATTTGATCGGGTGAAAGAGGCAATGACGTGGTGGAAACGCATAACGCAACGACGCTATGAACTTGGTGTTAGGTAAGTGATAATGGTTGCTGAGGAGAGTGCAGAGATTGATGATGTTTTTGAGATAGTATAGAGCTGGAGATTGAGAAAATGTTGCTGAGATTAAACATTTTATTTGTTTTATTCTTGCATTTCTTTCTTTTCTTTGTTTTTTTAGTAAAATAACTTCTTTAGTACAAAGATTCTTTTTTTTAGTAAGGAAATTATAAATGAGGAAAGAATGATAAATTAGATGAGGAGAGGGAGGGAGGGAGAGAGAGTTTAAGGATAAGATGATTTATTAGAAGTAAAATTGTAGTAAAATTGTTCAAATTAATAAATTATGCAATTAATCATAAACGAAATTTTATGTTGTTATTACAGTCTTGCACACTTTGAGTGTTATCTTTTCATATATTTTCAAATTTTCGAATTTTCATATATTTTCATACTTTTTTCTATTGTTGTTGCAGGAAAAGTTTTACAGTGTTGTTAAAAATTAAAATAAGAAGTTATAGGAAGTTAGTGTGAAGATTTGCTTATATCTGATTACTTAAAATCATAATGAAATTGTCAAGCTTCACGTAAGAACACTTCCAGGTTAAATGGCAAGTCATTCGACTAGTGCTATAGTCGCTTTTCTCATTGCCATTATTATAATTGGGATTGGCCAAATTATGAAAGTAAGTATTTTTATTCTGGTATAATTTTTGTCTATAGATGTTGGTAAAAAATGATTTCTGCCAATTGAGTATGTGAAACTGCAGTTAAATATATCTGAAATATATCTTGGTTTTTATGATATAATATGTTTTGTTTCGCTGATTGATACTTATCCTTAAAGCTTATGTTTTATGGATCATCAGCAAGAATAGGCATAGATTACTCTTGTGGAGTTCTTTCTATTTACTTACTGATATTGCATTTGTTTGATTCCATCAATTAAGCTGACCTTTGTTGTTTTTTCAGAATGATTTAGCGGCTTCCAAAGTAGGAACATTAACTGCTGGTGCTTTGGGTTCCTTAATTTTTGTGTTTTTGCTCACAGCTTTGTCAAATTTTCAAATGTCTTCAATCGGTGAGCAGGTGAAAGTTGGGCTTACCGAAGTCTTCTTATGTCTAGCTATTGCTGTCATTGCTTCGGCTACTATTCATCGAGTTGCCATAACGGTTAGTTTAATTCCTTCTCAAACAAGTTGTAGTTTATTTTGCGAGGGTCTTGAAAGAAAATCATTTCACCTCAGATTATGAAGGAGATAAGTAAGTGTTCAGAATCTAGAATATTCATATTTCATAGTTGGTGAAAAATCATCGGAATAGTTAAAATTGGTAACATTAGTTAAGGAAAATAGCAAGTTTTATTTTATATGTTTGGAGGATTGAATTTGAAACTTCTGGAAAGTACTCATCCGTAAGAAAAATTGTGGCGAAAATGTTTGAAAAACTGTATTGATAGTCAGACAAGAAAGAAAACAAAAATTTGTGCCTGGTAGAACCGTAATATCCAGATGATTCTACAGACATGAAAATAATGAAATAGTCGTTCTTCCTGGAATGTTGATGCTTGTGCGGTGAGGAATGTCACTGCTGAAGTAGAGGAAAATGCTGTATCGGGAAACAGTAAAATCTTAAATGCAGCAAAATAAAGTTATTCCATATCCTTGAGATCAAATTTCAAGTTATGTTTTCTGACATTCTTATGTATGTGTTTTCAGGTTTGTATTCTGTTCTCCGTGTTTTTATTGTTTTTATTGACTGGAATTAGTCAGACGAGGTATACAACGACAGTTGTGCAACAAGTCACACAACAGCGGAAGAAAAAGTAGAAATATGACAATCAGTTAATTTATTCAGTTAAAATTTATTGTTTTTTGATCCTGATGGTACTTTTAAACTCAGTGTTAGGAAGGATTACTGATTTCTAAAATCAAAAGTAGGATTTTGTTGTCTTGTTATGTGTCTTTTCATGTTTCTGATAAGGCTTCCACTGTTATCAATGTGTAACTAATAAACAATCGTAGCGGTAAGCATGATTTTTTTTTTTCATGAGTAAGATGAAGCTAATATTTAATAGCTTGATGAAAAGCAAAAGGAAGGTATGCCATATGCAATTTATATAAACTCATTTGATTTTGTAGGTAAAATTCAGTAATTCACTATATAAAGACCATTCAAGTTTGGATGATCTATTAAACATGCGCAGTAGTGATGTTTCTGTTTGCTTAAAGCTCAAAAGATATTATATATTTTTTTCTTTAGATATATTTGGGGTCTCTCCTTTTTATATTTTACCTTAAAAGTATGATAAGATCTGTGATTATTCACGTTTACTGTTAGTTTAGTATTCTTAATTGGTTACATGAATGGTAAGAGATGAATTGATGAATAATGTCTTAATTGTTACATATTACTTCATTTAATGTCGGAGCTTATATATTTGTTCATGTTGGCATACTTTTGTTACCTTGTCCTATTTTTCTTTCTTTTTTTTGTAAATGCAAAATAATAAATTTTTCTTGATTCCATGATTTTTTCATGAGGATGATTAATGATGATATTATTCATTGGTTATCATATCATTATTCATCATATTCAGCAATTCTTTAGACAGTGTTTGAAATATCAGTACGTACTGAGAGCGTTGGCGTAAGATTAAAGTAAATGCCGCAGATTCCTTTGCTAGTTGTATAGCTAAACTTGTTACAATCTTACTTTTAGCTTGTTGATTATGCTGTTATTTGATTAATTTGGTGCGTAATGAAGATAACTTATAATTTTGACATATTTTTAAAATATGATTTAGCAATTACATTTCTTTCTACTGTCAATTGAAATAAGTGTGTTTGCGTTGCGGCATTTTTATAATAATGCAACTTTTTGCAAATTGTATGTTAATTTTAGATGAATTCAATGTCTTATAACTGATAAAATGTGCGATGGGAAATCACTGTTCGAAATTACCATCTACAAATGCAACAACACACGTAACATCGGGAAGGAAAGGATTAAGCTTAGAGATTAAACATGGTCCATCTTCATCGGTTATACAACGTCATTTGGAAACAGCACAAAAAAGTCGAGTTTTACAGCTAAGAAATTGTGGCATGAAAATATTACCTGAACAGTTGCAAGAAGTAGGCATTTTTCTCCGACATCATTCAATTTCATCAAATCATTGGATAATATCCATTCAATTCAAACTATTAATGTCCTTAGTAATTAATGCTAGCACATCACTTAATGATAACCATTCATTTGATATGGCTACTTTTTTAATACTTATATATATTATTGAGAGAAATTTCTGGTACGAAATGATATAGATGTTGTTATTTCATCCATATTTATGACATTATTTAACTTTTGTCATTATCATTCATATAAATAGCAATGATAGATTTCATTAGCAATATTCATTAGCATCTGATATGGATTGAAGGAAAAGAAAAAAAAAAATTAAATGGGAAGATGTGTAAAAAAAATTTCAAAAGTAATTCTTTCGTACTATCAATATTTTATTAAGATTAGGAGCTGTTTTTTTTTTTTTTTTTTTTTTTCCTGCGTTGAATTTTTTTAAAACAAGTCCTTTTCAAATGTAAATTACATTTAGGTTTGTGAAATTCTTCGAAATTTGGATGTTTCACAAAACAAAATTCGAACCTTGCCAACATTTATTGGTTCATTCAGTAATCTAAAACAGCTTCATCTTTCCAATAATGAACTGAAAAATTTACCGGATGAAATGGGTGTTCTAAAGAAGCTGGAAGTTTTGGATCTCTCATGCAATCAACTTAATTCCCTTCCAGAATCATTAGCTGGTTTATGTTCGTTAAAAACACTAAATATATCAAAAAATAAGTTTGTACACTTACCCGTGTGTGTGTGTCATCTATCGGAACTCAACATACTTGACGCGTCGTCTAATCTTATTGAATTTCTTCCCGATGAGGTAAGTCTTGAATTATTTTATTTTTATTAAATTTCTGTCGTGCTTGATAGAGATCTCATACTTTTGCTAGAAATTCCATGTCTTTGACTTAGCTAGTTGAATGATTTAAAAATTTTATTAGGGTTTTTAACTTGAATTTTTTCCAATTTTGCTGGAGATTTCGTGCCCTTAGTTCAGTTAGTTAAATGATTTAAAATTTTGTATTTAAATTTAAAAAATTTTGTAATTTAAATTTAAATGATTTAAATTTAAAATTTTGTACTATAAGTAAGAGAGAGTTAAATTTTGATGTCATATTTCCCTGCTACTGCTTAATTTTGAAGTACTACATTTTTCATCTTTTTCTTCATTTATAGTTGAGGACAATGGAAGCTTTTGTCTTTAACATAGTGGAGGTGTAATTCTCTAGAAAAATAATCTATTAAAAAAATCAATCCATAAAAAAGCGACAGAAAAATTAAATGCTAAAGGATTCATCGTTCACTTTTTTTTTTTTTTTTTTTTCATCTCTTTCTTAATTTCAGGTGAAATTTTTGAAAACTTCGGAACTTAATTTGAATCAGAACAGATTAAATTCATTGAATGCAACAAATCTGGTGCATTGTGAAGCTTTAAGAACACTCAGAGTGGAAGAAAATTGCCTAAATAAAACAGATTTCATAAGTGATTTCTTGAGTAATTCTAATGTTAGTCTGATTGCATATGCAGGAAATCTTTTCCAGGACAAAGATTTCCAAAATTTACCTGGTTATGAGGAATATCAAAACAGATACACAGCTACAAAAAGAAAAATGTAATCGGTTAAGCATTCCTGTTTATTCATTGTCATCTTTTATTTTTAAAGAATTATGACGTAAGGTTATCATGTTTGTAGCTTAGTGATTTAGTGATTTTAAAGAATACATGATGAAATGCTAGGTATTATTGATTTAGCATTCCAGAATTGAAAGATCATTTCCTTCTCACTTTTTTGTTGAAATACACTCAGCACTTATTCACTGTTGTATTGTTTTAATTTTTAAAGCAATTCATATCATAAAATAGGCCATGAATTTTCACTTTATCAAGTTTAGATGCTTTAATATGTTATTTTTTCCAAAGATATTCTTTCATTCATAGTATTTTCTTAATATGCAAATTTATAGTGAGTGGTGTTATCTGATAAGATATTCACTACAGATATTCAGAATCTAGAACCGAAAATTAAGTGCAGTTTCAAATGATTTAGGTAATAAATTCGGCATGCTTTTTTTAAATGACCTTTGTATTCGACATGCAAAGATCATAAAATAGTTAAGCTTATTTGCGGTAAAATAATTAGCGTTGGAAATATTTGGTATAAAAGATCAGAAAGTAAGTTTATATGAATGATGGATGCATTTAATGTAAAGCAAATAACAAATGCAATAAATCATTCCCTCCTGTACAGGCTAGGGTAGGTTATTTATTTCTATTATTTATATTTGTAGTATCCCTATTTTTTTCATTTTTCCTTATCAGTCACTTTGATAATTTTATTTAAGCAAAATTCCTACATTACATTAACAAAAATTATCCATGTGTGATCTATTTGTAATATTTTCAATGATTCGAAAGATTAAATGAAAATGTTATTGATTTATGACTCAAACTATCATATTGCTAATAAAAATTCCAACTCGGCCAAATATGAAACATTCGATAAATTAAGCAAAAAAGAAATGCTTTCTTCTTTTCTCATAAAGTATGATATAAAGAAAAAAAGAAGGGGATTTCATTGATGGCAACTATTAAGTCATTGTTATTCTAATTGCATATTAGTCAAAATTTCACATTGCTAATTCTCTTTTACAATAATTTATTAAAAAATTTTTTTCTAACATACATTAATAATAAACACATATTTTTAGTATTACTATTTTTTTTTGTCTCAAATAACATTGATCATTTTCCTACTTTTCTATATTTTCAATCAGTTTAATAATTTTACTCAATTAAAATTCCTACATTACATTAACAATAATTATTAATTATGAATAAACATTATTACTAATAAGAAACATTATTAAAATGTTATTAGATAACATTGAAAGAAGTTTACTTTCTATTTATGCTCTTAAATTCACTCATTCCATACTAGAATTTTCTCGAGAATTTTCTCAATCTAAATTGATCAGTTTATTTAGTATTTTTTGAGCAAATGATTTGTCACTCTATTGTTATCACATTAATCTTGTCATTTCATTGAAATTTCATACGAATACTTTGTCATTTTTTCTAATTGCAATAAATCGTTCATAAACAATAATCGACTGAATCGATTGTAATACTTATAAATACTAAATGTAATTATTGACTAATTCTTTCTTTTTTTAACATTTGTCCCATTTCAGTTCTTAATTCAAACTTTATTTTACTTGTTTTCGTTATTTAATTTGTTTAATTGCATTGTTAATTCAATAAATGTCAATTGCATCATTTACAAAAAAAGATTCATATCTTTTAAATTTCAATAATACAAAGTTAGCATTTTATTGAATTAATTAAATGTTGAAAATTAGAAGAACATCAAACTATAACAGTCTTGAATAATTTAAATAATTTACTATGAAATTTGAAATAGTGCTACAAATTTAAATTATAACATAAAATAGATGTGACAATATTTCCATGACGTAATAAATTATTTAAAAACATTAAGTCTTAAATTTATTTAAAAATATGAATTCATTAAAAACAACAGATATTTTTAACTTAAATGGAATAAATTTGTCGTATAATATTGTGTATCATAATATTTATGTGAAAGAAAGAAAGAAAGACTAATGATTTTTAAATTAAATATGAAATACTTACCTTATGTATACCTACTGAGCAGCAAATTTAATAGATTAGTCATGGTTTCAATTCATTTTTACAACCAAAATTAATTTTTAATAAAATCAATGAAGTTGAAAATATCTGTTTTTTTAATGAATTTATATATCTAAATAATTTTAACACCCAATTAAAATAGAATTTGACATCATTAGAACTTATTTCCTAGTTTAAAATACAAAAAATCTTGCAAATTGTAAGATTTTCAAAAAATGCAAAATTTAAATTTTTATTAAAAATTTCAATTGTAAAAATGAATTGGGGCCGTGAGCAATTAAAAATTTTATTAATTTCACTACTGAAATATTGTTAAAAAGTTTAATAATTAAGTTTTTTTATAGTTTATTTTTTATTATTACTGTGAAGTGACCAAACGGAACATGAAATGCATATAAAATAGCTTTTTTTTTCTTGCATAAAAAACAGAAAATTGGAACCTAATTGAATATTTTATAAACACGGGGGAACTGGTGACATATTGTGGTAATTTGACATCATAAATAATAAAATAAACTTTAATAATTATTTTTTAAACAATATTTCAGTTGCGAAATTAATAAAATTTTTATTTAATCATAGTTTTAATTCATTTTCATGATTAAAACTAATTTTTATTTCAAATTTAAATATTAATTTTAATGAAAACCCTACAATCAGTAAGAATTTTCGTATATTAAACGAGAAAAAAAATTGTAGTACAAATTTCATTTTAATTAAGTGTTAAAACTTTTAAGAAATAGTAATTCATTAAAAAAAAAATTATTTTCAACTTAATTAATTATTTTATATGCATTGTATAAGAATTGGTCATTGGGGTGTGGTCATTTGACAGCTCACAATAATAAAATAAACTTTAATAAATAAGTTTTGAGCAATATTTCAGCAGCGAAATTAATAAAATTTTTAATTGATCATAGTTTTAATTCATTTTTGCGAATTAAATTAATTTTTATTTCAAAATTAAATATTGTTTTTATGAAAATTACACAATTTGTAAAAGTTTTTGCATTTTAAACAAGGAAAAAAGTTCTAATATTATCAAATTTTATTTTAATTAAGTGTTAAAACTATTTAAAAATATCAATTCATTAAAAACAATAGATATTTTCAACTTAATTAATTGTTTTATATGCACTGTACGTGAACTGGTCATATGCAGTGTGGTTATTTGACAACTTAAATAATAAAATAAACTTTAGGCTTAGGCTTAGGCTTAAGATAAACTTAGGCTTAGGCTTAGGGTGAACTTAGGCTTAGGCTTAAGCTTTTTTTCAAATTTAAAAATTGATTTTTGTGAAAAACTAATAATTTGTAAGAGTTTTTGTATATTAGACTAGGAATTAAATTTAGTGTTATCAAATTTCATTTTAATTAAGTGTAAAAAGTATTAGAAAATATCATTTCACTAAAAAAAAATAGAAAAATAGAACTTAATTGAATATTTTACATACAGTGTGGAACTGGTCACATACATTGTGAACATTTGACATCATAAATAATGAGATAAACTTTTATAATTAAGTTTTAAAGAATCTTTCAGTAGCAATATTAATAAATTTCTTGTATTAATTAAAACAGATTTTAGCATGTTTAAAAATTTTCTCAGCATTAATTCAACAAAAACTCTTAGAATTTATTGAATTTTCTTAATGATTCATATCTAAATTTTTAATTAAAATCAATTTTGTAGTCAAAAATCAATTGAAATCATTACTAATTGCAAATATTACTAATTTTTACATTGTAAAGTTAGAATGGTTCGAATCATTCAATGATGTCGCCGATGATGACAAGAATAATTTAGATTATACTGAAGAATAGTTAATATGGTGGCTGTTTAGATGCTTAGTATTTTTCTTCAGGTGTTTATAATTCCTGTCTTTTTTTGAACTTTTCTGAACTTTTTCGAACTTTTTTTTGAATTATGAACTTTTCTGAATATCTTAGCTAATCTGTCACCAATCTCTTTGTCGATTTTAGCAAATGATGCTTCTTGGAGAGGTAAAATACTGAATTGATGTTAGTTTAATTGCGCGTGTTGTAATAATGATATTTGCTTTGTGTTGGGAACTGATTTAGAATTTCTGTCATTTTAAGCTGATTCAATCCAGAAAGTTTTGCATTTTCGATAAAGTGGGATGCTATAGCTGGAAATAACAATAAAGGCGACATCGTCCACAAAAACCAATTTTCGAAAATTACATTTAAAATTTTAATGTGAGTTTTCAGTTGCCTAAGACTGAATAAGTTTTCATCGGTTGCGATATTGAGTGTAAGTTGTATTTCCTTAATTGAAGTCTGTTGTGATCATTTGCAAGCATAATGATGAAGTGATGCGAGAATATATTGTGATTGTCGGGAAGAGAGCTTATCGCCAAATCTGATTGATCTCGATGAGGATCATATAGGGATGATCTCGATGAGGATCATGTGGAGATGATCACGATGATGGATCATGTAAGATAATTTTATGTTGCTATAAGCCATTTGATGATGTGAAATGCTTCGATCAGGTCGATGAGGTCAACGAATGTCACATAGAGTCTTTGTTTCGTTCGGTTGCATTTTTCTTGTAATCGTTTGAGAACAAATCTTTTTTATAGTAAATACTAGTCTATCCTGGAATATTTTCACAAAAATTTTTCAGGTACAAATAGAGCAAATATGTCGAATAGTCGGTTCTTTCTTCCTTCATATTCAGAATAAGGATGATTCACTTTGTTCCCAAATAGTTCACAATAAATTCGTAGAATTTAGTAAGTATGTTGTATTTTGTGCCCATTCTTTCAGACTTCAAATGAAATTCCATCAATACCAAATTTCATCTTCTGCATAGTCTTTCAATTCATCCAGTTCAGTTTTTACTAATTGTTAAATGATGTACTCAACTTTTGCAGTATTTAATCGAAGATGGGCATTAAAGAAACATTGAAGTGTTCCGATTATTGGCTTAAAATGAAGGATTTATTCAGTTAAGCAGAAAACAACTTCAGAAGCTGAAAAGAACACACACATGCCACTTTCAGAATTTCATAAACTTTTGTGGTTGTTCGTAACTGATTGAATTTTTTATTATTTGTTGACCTACCACTTGTTTCTATTTAGTGTTGATGGAAGATGTAAAAGAGATAAAGAGATTACAAATGATCTATTGGAAAATGAATAAGCCTGAAATCGATTTACTTTTTAATCATGAAACTAATTCCTTAAGGGTAAAATTCTGTTTCCGGTTTGTCCGACCAGAAGAGCATACTTTGTGGTTACCTTTTGATGCAACGAATTCACTGTGAACAGCAATGTCATCGCGTAGTAATGAACAATAGGAGTAGAAGGACATTCGCGACAACCATTATTTGCAGTACGAGCGCAGTTTCATGTTTCAACCTGAAACAATCAGTTTGGAAACATTTTTGGGTGCAACTATATGCTTTTTCCTTTGTTTTGGTTTGACCGTAATAAGAAAAAAACCGGTTAACCACGGTTAACTGGATCGAACGTGAAGATAAACCTGATAAGGCTGTTTTTTTTTCGAAGTTCATCTCTTAGATCAAGCAAACTTGGAGGATGGCAGTAAAATCCTCGGATCGTAGATTTTCTTGGTCGGATAACATCATTTGCCCAGTTTTGAAGTCAGAGTTGATAGACTGAATTCTTCTAGGTTGGTTGCCCGAAAGCTAATAATGCCATCCTACCCATTCACACATTTGATTTAAACCTTCAAATTGAAATCTTTCTATTTTAAGAAATCCTATCGGAAGTATATGCCATTGCCAGCATAGTTTGCAACTTCAACGGGGGCACATAAGGGCACGCAAGCTCTTTTCCCCATAACAAGGGCTGTGTCTAGGGTTAAGTATACAATAATATTAGCATGCTACGATCCTCCCTCATTACTCTACCCTCTGATGACGAGCAGGTGTCCGCAAAGGAAACATAAATTTAAATTATATAGAAATATGCTTTAAATGTCTAAAATCATATTTTTCCATTGATTTTTACTAAAAAAATCACTTTCTTCAAGTTTAATAATTTTTCCTCATTATACGCTATTGATAATTTTGATTGAAATTTTTTCAATTTAATTTATTTTTTTATTTTTAATTTTAAAACAAAAAATTTTTTCTATTTAAAAGAGCTTTTTACTTCATATAGGCATTATCAGAAAAGTAGAATTTTATCCTTCATTTTGTTTAATTTACATTCATTTTATCACCCTTATCAATAATATAAAGATTTTAAAAGTTTTTCGTTTTTTCTCTTTTTTAATTACATCACTAATATTTCCTCTAATTTCTTAGAATTAGTTTCTAACTAAATTGAATGCTTATTCTTTTCTTTTTGATCATTCTTTTCTTTTTTTTTTTGATTTTTGATCAATCAGCGGTTATAATATTATTATTATTTTCAATGGTAAAACTATTCATATTATTTTCTCTTTTCTAGTTTTTCTTCTTGCTTTTTTGTTTTTCTTTTTTCTATTTGAAATATGGTTAGTATTTTCTTCCTGTAAAATATTATTGTTTCTTTTGAAAATTTTAAAACTTTTCAAATTCGTCCTATTACTAATCTCTTTTGCTTTCAAATAATACAGTAATGCAAATGAATATGATATCATGAATTTCTCTTATTCTTTTTTCCTCTTTTCAAATTAATGCATTCATTGATGAGAGGAGAAAAAATTGAGAAATCTTAGAAAGTTTTCAATTCTTTTAGAAAATTTAAAATTTTTGACATGTTTAAAATAGCACAAATTTAAAATAATTATGCATCGGTGTTTCGATTTATAATTCGCATAGCATTCTTGCAATAATCCATTATTGGATAATCGAAAACTTCAGCTTTGAAATTCTCAAGAAGTAACTCCATCAACTAAATTTTCTAAAATACCAAGTTTTCATGATAACACTGAAAGAAAAAAGAAAACAAAAAAACTAATAAAGATGCAATGAAGACTTCTAGTTGAAATGATAAACAAAACACTGAAATATTTCTGTATACAATCAAAGAAAAGAGTAAAAAATTTTATCAATTAAATGATACGTTAACATTAAGCAATAAAACTAGTGAAATAAAAAAGAAACATTCACAAAAAGAAGCATGTGGCATAAACACGCAATTCTCGAACAACTTAAATTACCACAAACAAAAAAAGAAATCAAATTTTGCTTAATCAATCTCGACTAAATTTCACCACACATGATTTAGCTCTTTAAATCTTTTCAAGTTCAATTTTTTCAAATACTTTGAGAAATATGATTACTTTTTGTAAAAGTGAAGCTTAATTGTAAATTCCTTTGAGTGAAATAGATACAACGTTTAATAAACTCAATGATAGCCATTTATATGTATGGAAGAATTAAGAAGAAGAGAAGATGAAAGATTATATGAATCATTTTTCATTCACAAGTTTTATTGGATTATAAGTATTTTTGAGATACGAAAAGAAAATGCAATTAAAAAGGCAATTCTATTTAAAATTTTCAATTTAAAATGGGGATATGGATTTGACGAAAAACAATTTTAAAGTATTGGAAAAATTTATACAATTTAGCGTAAACACATAGGAGGAAAACTTTACCAATTATTACACAAATTTAACATTTATCCTTGATTCAAAGAAATTTAAGAATTAGAAAGAGATTACTATACAGATGTATAGCAGAGTAAAAACATTCTAAAAAGTCACTATATACTTTGTTTCTGATCATTTATTATGAAATACAAAATAAATACTTTGAGAAATTTTAATGCCTCTTGATCTCTTCTCTCTCTCTCTCTCAAAAAAAATAATAATAATAATTAGACAATAATTATATTAAAAAAACAAAAATCTTTGACACAAATATGAAAAAAGAATAATACAATATATTAAACCCTTCTTGTCTATTTTCGGTATCTTTTCATGAATATTTTCATAACATAAATGAGATAAAACGAATAACAAAATCAAAGAATTTCAAAACAACATAGCAAATAAAAATATGAAAAAAATGACTAGAAGGAAATGCATAAAAAAAAAAGGCAATGTAAAAAAAAAAAAAAAGAAAAATATTCCAATAAATTTGAAATATGAACTTGAATACAATACAAAATACTATATTAATAATTCGAAAGAATATAGTTTTTTTAATAATATAAATGATTTAATACAACAATCATATCAAAATATTACTATATGTTTAGATTATTGGATATAGGAATAATTTTAGTTTTTCTTTTTTGAAAACATCTAGTAAATTTTCTATTTATTTTTCAAAATAACAATAAAACTACCTATTCACAATCAAATGTAACAACCAAACAGTTAACCAAATAGTTAAGATACACATCTAACAGCTTTTTTTGAATTAAAGACAAGATGTACAATATAATACAAGTAAAAGAGAATTAACTATTAAGTCATACCTGGATGAATAGCTAATTGCTTTTGAAATGTGCGCAACTTTTCCTTAATTGTGTTGGTTGCGTTTTCGTATTCATTTGTGAGCTTCTTTTTATCAAAATGTGTCTGGAAATAACATAATCAATTACTTTCACACTTCACATTTATTCATAAACAATTGATTTACACATTCACAAACAATTAAACAACACCCAATCCATCTTAGTGGCTTATTTAGAGCTTATAAAATCACAATTAGTGATTGTAAATGATCATAAGCAGAATAAAATTTATAATCATCCCGCTTATTGAATTAAGTAATTTTATTTTATTATGTACATAGAAAGTTATATAATAACTTACCGCTGATATGAAAACGTTGCGATCTGCATAAAAATCGTAAAATTTCGACACCATATCTACCAGAACACTCAGTGAGGATGCCTCATTCTCAATAACTCTAAAAGAAAACAACAAATAACTTAACAAAGGTTTATTTTAAAAGAATTGAAAACTTACGAATCGATAACTTTATTAATCCTTCTCGTGTCCTCGACTGATTTCTTGTCTTTCCTACAATTTAGCAAAGTTTGAATTGCAATAACAATCATAAAAAGTTCAGAATGAACAAGATGAAGTTACTTGCATGTTTCAATTTTAATTCAATAAAATTATGAAAGTCAACCTGCGCTGAAGATATTGGACGAGATCGGCAAATGTATCCAAAAAATCATCCATGCAATGTCCACTTAATTCGTATAATCTTTTCCTCTTAAATAACTTATCACCACTTCCAATATCCTTAAAATTGCCTCTAGTACAATTTGCAACTTATAAATTTGTTATAAATATCTTTTATAAACAACTTAATGTTTAGTTTTTCTATAAGTTTTGAATATATGAAAAACCAAAGTGAGTATCAACTTGAAATCAAGTTTACAAGCCAATGAATATTATCGTTCAATTTCAATCGAATTATTTTGCCTCCTTCTTTGCTTTTCGAAATGAATAAGGAATTAGCCGCGGTTGATGAGTTTCACGCTTTTCTGACACTTCATAGCTCGCTTTTTTATAACATATAAAATTCTGAAATTCCTTTTCACCAGCTGCTAGCAATGATGAAAATGATTTTTTTTGAGGAATAATTGTAAATGATGGCGAAGAAGAATGGTGGCATTCAAGTGGTGCAAGTAAATTGCCTACAACTTTTCTAGCTGCTGTAATTTGTGTAGTTTTAACAGTCGATGACGATGGCTTATCCTTATCAGTTAGTGTAAACGAGAAGTCTGACGGTGAGATTTTCTGAGAAGCATCTCTCATCATAAACTGTTGGCTTTTGTCCTTTGATATATCAGTTGCTAGCAAATGCAACAACTCCTGAAATAAAAATATAATTTTAGATGAAGAATTTAAAATACATTCAATCCAACCTCTTTTTTTTCTCACCATCAGTTGAATTAAATGAATTTATCTATGTTTAATTCATGTAATTAAATAAAACATGTAACAAAATTAGAAGAATTTAGTTGCGCATAATTACAAAACTGACAGAAATTTTGTACAAAACTGTTATTAGGAAATCTAACAGAAAATAAAACACTGTCCCAAAATAATACAAATATAAACTATATAATAATATATATTACTTAGTTAATAAATTGCAAATGCAACTGAGCTTACAAGGAAAAAGAAAGTAAAAAATTAAGAACGAAGTACACTATACACATGGAAACTATTATTTCTGAATGCGACTATATCTCAAGCATAATGCACTCAGAGGATATTAATTTATTAAATGATTTAATTTTTTTTTTTTCATAAATTTAGAAAAATTGGTAAACTTAAAGAAAGCTAAAATAATAACAAAAATCATACGTCTCTATCAGCTGTTACGATATTATGTGCCGCTGCTTTGACTGCAAGATTTTTATCATTTGTGGCAAATACCACACGAACCGACTCATTCTCATCTGAAAAAAAAATATTTCTTGGATTAAAAGCTTTCAAAAAACAATAGAAATTATGTTAAAGACTTAACTATTAAAATGATATGAACTGAACAGTTAGGAATAAGGTGTGCAACACAAATAGTGAAATAAAAAAAAAAAGAAGCAATGATGTGTGAAACATGAAATAAACAAAGTTAATATACATTTTTTGGCGGTTACAAATGCACATTTCAAAATTATATCATCGTTATTTTGGCATCCAAATTCTTCCATACCATTTAAAGCCTAAAAAATATTCGACGAATGAATGGCACAGCCACCTAATGTTATGAAATTTATATTTAAGAAAAATTAGGATATAAATTGCAATTTTGACTATAACAAACCTCGAATGTGGTTTCTATGAACAAATAATTGCATCCACGTTTTATACAATCATGCAGATAAGCAACTGTTTTTACAGCTTTAGATCGTAGTTCATCACATTTCTGAATAATATTTTCTGATGCAAGTGCGTAAAATAATAAAAGTAAATTAAATAGTAAAATATATACATTACTATTTAGAGACTAGGGAAATCATGATATAAATTGCAACCAACAAATTGCGATAAATCTGTTAAATAAGTAAAAAATGAAAAATTGAAAATGAAAAAAAAAAAACATAAAAATACAGTCTAAAACCTACTGCTCTCTTTAAGCCATCTAATTCCTGCAAAACGGTATATGGAATAAGTGAACAGCATATTTCTGTAAAATAACCATTATTACAAAAGAAAAAAAGAAAAAAAAAGCTTATCCTTATGACAAGAGTGTTAATTTTTGAAATATCATAATGAACATGCACTGATGAATATGGTTCGATAATGGAATTTTCGACATATACAAATATACAATGTATAACTTTAAAATGTTAAAATAACTTTCATTACGTTCTAGATATTCTTTTTCAAAATATCCTCTTTTTTCTTTATCAAAATAGTATTTAAGCATGACATAATACATACTTCCGGTGCACATTGGTAAAAGTGTTGTATCTTGAAGAAGGCAACTTGTGTCGAAAACTATAAGTGCCACATCAGCATTTTTGGCCGTTTCACAAACTTCCATATTTTTTGCAGTATGGAAAAACTGCGGATTATTCTGAAAAATAAACTACGAAAATTATTATAATACGGAAAGTAATGTAAAAATTGAATAACTGCTTCCAAAACATCACTTATTACTCATATTTCATCTTCAAAAATATCAATATGTAAAAACAATCTATTCCCTTTTAAAATTCGTAAATTTATTTCTTCAAAAAGTTGTATAATGTGACATATCAGGATCAAAATAACTAAAGAAACACAAACTTTGGTAAATAGATTAGGATGCAAAAAGTGTTCTCGACGAAAAGCTTGCACTTCTTCGACAACGAAATCGATCTCCATCGGCTCTTCGTGATAATTTATTCCTAAAGCAGTAAATGCTTCACATTTTCTATAAGTCAAAGGAATTTCTGATCAACTTATATTAACTTTGGAAGTAAGTAACACCTACCGATCAGCAGGATGCTACGTTAACAGATGTTATAATATTTGGAAAACTAGAAACAAGACGAAGAGTGGCAAATATCTAACATATCTATCTGTATTCAGCATCTCAACGATTAGCAAGTGGCTCTATAACAATTAGAAAATACAAAAATGAACTTTACAAAAGAAATCAAAAACAAAAGAAGACCTTCTATGCTAATTTCATCGATTTCCATCAGCTCTTCATTTGATTCGCTTGTGTTTGGAATATTCGAGCAATGGAAGCAATCAATTTTATTGGACACTCCCTTTCCAACATTTTCTGGAACCAAATTTCCTCGAGAGTTTACATCGCCTCTGAATAACAAAAGAAAATGAATAATGGATTTCTGAAAAGTTGTATATAAAGGAACGAATCTGTCGTAACTATGCCATATTTTTCTCTCAGTTTCCCCATTAGCAAAAATTTCCACTGAAGAATCGACAAAAAAATCTCAATATTCTTATTGATGTGTAGTTAATGTTTCTTTGCAACTTATTCATCAAGCAGAAACTTTTTTTATGAGGAAAAATAATCCCTGTTGAAACTTAATACCGTGTAATAAAATACAAAATAAAAATAAAAATAAAAACAATAAAATAACGTTCTCTTTGCACATTTTAAAATGACCTAATATGATTCATTCCGTGAAATGGTTTCCAATACTCGTAACTGGTAAAGCAGTGATTAAAAGAATCAATTAAGCAATGACTTTTCTACCTTCTATTAATTGTGATTCTATTATTATTAACTTCTATTAATTGGTAAAATAGAACTTTTCCTCACTTTCCCAGAATATTTAAAGTTCTTTGTTGATATTCTATATCCGGTTGTTTCGTAGATAAATCGGATTCACTCAAAGGATACTCCACAACCGATATTTCCCATGTTGACTGCTTTGTCTCCGTATTGAAATAAAATATCCTGAAATACAATAAAAGATAAAGTTGCTTAGAAATTTGAAAAGATTGCAAATAGACGCGTTGTAATTTTATTCTTATCTTTATACTGCTCTTCTGCTTATCCTTGTCACCATGTTTTTATTATTTCATTCATCCCTTAGTTGTAATATTCACATATTTTAAGAAAACAATCATATATTTCTCTTCAGCAAACGTATCTCTATGTCTACATATTTACGAAAAGTTTCCGTAAAATATTTCCCAAAGTGATATGCTGTAATTCTTTACTTTTCAGTGTTTACTTATCATCTGCATCTTATTGCAACAAATATTACTCGACATGTTAAAGTAACTAAATACGTTGTGAAAACAGACAATGCTACAAAGTTACAATGCATCAAACATATTTATATCTTCTCTTATGCAAATTTACATTATTCTTTCTTCATATACAAATTTTACGTAGACTAACATTATGTCTTAAATATCCTTAATCGTTTTTTCTTTTCCTTTTCCCCCTAAATTTCTGCAACAAACCATATCATGATAGTGTGACATTAGCATTTGATTATAATATATCTGTTAAAAGAAATATCAAAACTAAAGTAAAAGTAACATATTATATAACTTAAATACATTATGTATTTTAGTAAATTTTACAATCACCAATAAAAATTAATTATCTCAATCAATCTTTTTTTAATTACCACATTCATTTTCTTTACTTTCATAACATAATCTTTCGACTATTCTTAGTCTTATCTATTTGCTTGAATAAATTAATTTATAAAGAGAGGAAAATTCTTTAACCGTTTTCGTTTGTCCGAATAAAATGCTTTCCATGGTTCTGGTAAACCAAGCACATGAATTTCTTTCTTCTTCCTACTCATTATGATGAAAAATTTGAACCAAACAGAAATGAAATACAATACATGAAACACCTGAAATGAATAATGGATTTCATTTCAAATAAAATAAAATGACGTAAATGACGTGGCACAATTTACGCTTAAACATATAAATGATTAGATTTTTTTTCTGCTGATTATATTAAATTTATTATGTTTTTTCATAAATTCTAGCAATTAAAATTAATGAGATAATTAAATTAATCAATAATTGAATTAAATTAATAATTAACTAAGCAAATTTTTAAATCAAAACCTACTCACATAACAAAATTAGTGCTACCTTAACGTAAACACCCTCTCCTTATTGTCATCTTTGGGTCACTCATCTATTTCCACAGTCTCTCAACATATCGCACTATCTCACAAATTTTATCAATCTTTGTCTCTCTCAAATCTCCTGTTTCTCTTTTCCTCTTATTCTCCGTCGACTTACAGTTAAATGTTGATAACTACGATAACCCACGTCGTCCCTTTACAAATAATGCTATTTCTTTATTCTTACAAATCTCGCTCTGCATTATTTTTTCGCTGTGTCAACTCCACCCCACAAACTCTTTTCTAACTATCACTCTGACGTCTCAAAACCATAACTGAGAGCTTTGTGAAACTTTTGAGTCTCAGTGTACTACTGTATGTTTTACTTAGTTTTAATTTTATCTTTTTTGTTAATTTTACTTTTCAGGATGTTTGATAGCTTTGAAAATTATAAATTTCGGTAATGTCATACTTTCTGGACAGCGAATTACGTGCACTTACTGCTGCTCAACTTAGTATGTTTTGTCTTAAACTTTAATAATATTGAATAAATTTGAAACTTTTGTTCAACCTTGCAAAAAAAGATGATTCATTCATTTTGTTAATATTTTCAATTTTTATATTTTATGTAATTGTTTCAATTTTATTTATCCAAAAATAAAAACTGAAAACGGTTTTTTTCAACAGTTTAATAATAAAAATTACTTTTGAAAATTGTTATTTAATTACACCAATGTTTTTGCGAAAAACAACTGAGACTTTTATACTGAATTATGGAGTAGTTCAGCTACTAAAATGAAGTTTCCCTGTTAAGTTACTGTTCATTGTGATATAATTTTGGGCCGAATTTCAGAGCAAGAAAAGCAAAGTACGTCTTCGCAGCTCCTTCATGTTCAGCAACAAATTAGCGATTTGGCTTACGGAAATTATCGGATTTATGCAGATGCAGGAAGTACCACAGAACAATGCAAACAACTGGTCAGTTTTTTTCGGAATATGAAAAATGACCCAATTTTGTGCTATAAAACTTTTGTTTTGCATGAAATTGATCTTAAGTTTTTCTCATTTAAAAGGTGCTAAATTTTTGTTAGAAATGTTTGTTCTTTATAATCATGCAGAATTGGTACGTTAAATTATAATTTTGTTAGATCTTAATCTTTTATCATTTTTACTCGTCTCAGTTAAATGTCTTTTAGGTTTGTTTTTAAAACCACTTAAACTACTTCTTAAATCCTGATGTTATAAAGACTGATTTACAATACGTATGTAAAAAATAAATAAGTGGATTTTTAGAGAAGTTCAAATTTACCTCCAACGTTGCTGATATTTAATCCTTTTGAAATTTTTATGAAATTATCCGAACTGATGCTAATACACTAAATTTATGTATGACGAAAAGATCGAAGAACAAATGCAAATAAATAATATAAAAATTAAAAAAATATTGTGTGAAAAAAAAAGTTGATATTACAACGATTAATTTTGTTGATTGAAATTTCCCTTCATAATTTTATTTTAAAAATTTCTTCATTTCTACATGACATGAAGAAAATAAAACGCTTTTAAGTTTGGAAAAGCAAACGATTTGGTTGGAGATATTGAAAAAGGGATTGAATCGATACGGGAATCCTTGAAGCAGTTTGATTCTAAGAATGATGAAGTCGTACAAGAGCTTCATCATTTACAACTTGCTGAAAGTAAAAGTTCACGCTTATGGGATATTCTAAGCTTGCCAATGGTAAATTTTACAAAAATTATTTGGGACATTTTAAAACTAATCTTTGAAAATGATTCAAAAATCAAGACCTAAAATTGCAACAAAATGGTATTTTCAATTTCTAAAAGAAACTGTAATTTGACTTCGAAATAGTAGCTGTATGATTGTGTTTTTCAATTTTAACTTCCTATAACCTTGAGATATTTGATCAGAAATCTGGATTTCAGCGTATGGATATATGTATTCGAGCTGGTTACTATGATATGGCTTATTTGTTGACTAATTATGGAGTGCAACTGCAAACACATGGACTCACTAAAAATTCAATAATTAAGGTTTTTATAGAATTTGCTTGGTATTTAAAATATTATGACAGTTTGCATTTCTTTTTATTTTAAAGTTCAGCTTGGTTGCTTTCTTCTTTTTTCCTATCCTGTCCGTGTATGTTTTTTGTGTATTTTATTCGGCTGGAATATTGCGGACTGCTAAAACAAGGATAAATATCTTCAAAGCTTAAATCTTTAATTTAAAGGTCGTGATGATTGTTCTAATGTTAGATGAAAGTTAAGAAGCCTTATAAATCCAAATTCTTGCATAAGGAGGAATGATTGCTTAGAATCAGTTATGGATATTTTAAGAGCAATATTACTGTCGAATTATTATCTCCTTGGCTTTATTAGTTAAAATTTTACGATGATTTCAAATTTGTTAACTATTTGCAGCAAGTTGCTGATAAGCTAATTGATGCTCGATATCATTTATTGGATGAATTGTTCAATACGTTTGCTGGGCCTATTGATTTGGCAAATAGTATTCAAGTTGTGAATAATATTCGAAAGATTCCGTATTTATCTTCGACACAAATGCGTATTATGATTTTACAGTATCGTGATGTATATCTTGAAAAACGACTTTTGGATATTCGAGTAAGCTGTTTCTTTTTTTTCTTTTGTTCAAATACAATGAGCATTTTGGTTTTAACAACATTTAGTCAAAAGTTTATTAAAATTTGATATGATTCATGACATCATTCATGATCCTTTTGATAATTCATCTTATAGTTCATTGAAAATTTTTCGTGTATTTAGTAGTTCCTTTCTGGTTTATCAAAATATTTATAATTTTTATTTAGTCGCAGCCAGATTTTATCCTTCGAATGGTTGAGGTTTATCGTGATTGTATGTATGATACTATGGTTTTACATTTAGCCGTTTTTCCGGAAAATGAAATAAGCAGACGACAAACTGATGTGAAGATTTGTTTTTTTTTTGTTTTTGTTTGTCTTTTTTTTAGAAACAATAATAGTAGCTTTTCTATTTTAACAATGACTTAAGATTAGTACAGAATTTAAAATTCATTTCAAATTTAATTTCTTGTTACAGTTATCGGTAGATCAGCGATGGGATGTTTGGCAAACAGCAGCTTCTTCCGTAATCCTCAGTGAATGGGCAGTTCATAATCTCGCTGTAATGTTCAGTCGCATAAAGTAGGTCATAGTTCATTCGTCATTCAGAAGCATTGTGATTTCAAAATTGAAGTGAGTATTCTAGCAATATCAGTAATGAAGTGTACATTGATATTGGCTCTCTGTCGAGTAAATTAATGAGTTTTGCCTTATCGTTTGGCCGAATGGGAATGGATTTTCGACCAATGATTGCAGAAATCATTGATAAATTTGTCATCAACAGATTCTCGTTGAAAGTTCAAAATGCAGCGAATAAGTTAGTTTTATGCAAGCTTACAAGTTATAATTTATCTGAAATAAACTTTATGATTTAAACGTTTTACTTTTCTATGTGCTTTTTTGTTTAGTATTAATAATATTTTATTAGTAACAATATTTTAGATCAATGGTAGCATTTCAGAATATTTTATACCTCTTATTTTAGTTTAAAACAGTGTCGAAGCATAGAAATTGATGGAGAGATACCGGATACTGTATTTTCATCTGGCAGTCAAGATGGTAAACAACCATCAGCTCCTTCAGTACTTGCATTTTGGGATGATTTATGTGTTTACGGGAATGCTTTAATTGATGCTTTAAATGAATTGCGAAATGGCTTATCGCCAACTCAGGTAAACTTTTTTTTATTATTATCTATAAATATATATTTGATATATTTTGTGATTCTAAGAATTTTAGTGGATTATTCATTTCTATAAATATTTTTAGAAGCTTTTTCGTTCATTTATTCATTTTCAGATCAACGCAGTTCTAAAAGAGTTAACGAATTCAGTGAAAATTGTTATTTGCTGGTTATGTGATATGGAAAAATTGGTTAAGAAAGCAGTAAGTTTTAATTTCTTTTAGTTTTTTTTGCAAATATTGCTGTCATTGAGAAAGCAAATTCATCTATAAAGGTAAAAAAGGTAATTAGGTTTGTTTGTTTTACATGTAAATAAATTATTGTATGTAAATAGGTTTGTTTGCTTTGGAAACAAAATTCTTTCACCGTCCTACATTGCAAATGCTTAAGAATTTATTGTGAATCTAAAAAGAAAAAAAAGCACTATTAACTTTGAAAAGCAATGGACCAAGTAGTCCATCGAAAAGTACTTACAGACCTTTTATATTATCGTTTTCTTTTTTATATAATTAATGTTATTTCAGATTATGGAAAAGGCAGTTAAATTATTTGGAAAATATTTTATACCATATATTAATGGCTGCTTATTGACTTTATATCCATATGAAAAATGTTGTCGACCATTTTATCATACTAACTGTACGTTAGGACTATACGTAAGTTAATATTTTTTCTGGAATGTTAATTTAATTTCAAAATTTTTTTTTATTCTATATTTACAGCGGTTTTTTTTTTTTTTTTTGTCTTCTATTCTTATTGTTCACCTTATTTCCTAATTTGTTTATCATGTTTATCCTTGATCCCTTTATTTTCGTTTTTGCTTTTTTAAAAAATGTATTAAAACTAATT